CGGACCCGGGGCTTCCTGGCCTCCAGAACTGGGAGAAACAAACCTCTGTGTATAAGCCACCGGGCCTGCGGTGTCTTCTTAGAGCAGCCTGGAGGGATGAAGTCAAAGCTTGTGCAAAGGCCCCTAGGAAAGTGAAGTCCAACAGGGACCCCTCTCTCTGTGATAAAAAAATAACAGCACTGGTGCCTGGAAAACGTAACGAATTAAAGGATGATTTTTGGGGAGAATCTCAAAACCATGTGATGAGACAGCATTGCCCAAAGCTTGGGAAAGCCGCTCTCGCAGAGCTCATCAGTGGGCGGGCTCTCTGGTCCGGGCACCAACCAGACGGCGCGGGGAACGGGCAAGCAGGAAGCTGACCTAGAGCGTTATTTAGAGAGGTGTGCTCAGGGCTGTGCCCAAGGACAGGACGGGCCGCAGGCGAGGGAGGGAGCTGTGGGCGAAGCCTGGGGGAGGAGCGGCCCACAGCGTCTTTGGGGGGAACGCACCCCCTGCCCAGCGGAGGCCTGCGGCCCCTTCCTCGCCCCGCGCCCCCTTCCTCGCCCCGCGCCCTTCCAGCCGAAGCCTGCTCCTCCCAGGGACCTGAGTGGAAACCGGGGACAAAAACGGGTCAGGTCCTAGGGGTCAGCCTCCTGGGGCACAGAGAGAGCAGAGGGGCAAACGGATGATCCACCTCAGAGACCAGTTGACGGCAGCAGTTTTCAATGAACGCCCCTGGATCCAGCAGTCCCGCTGCTAGGAGTTCACCCTGCAGAGAAATTCAAATGCAAGTAAAGTTGGAAAATGCAAAACAGGAGTATTTTGTAGGTGTTGGGAGCTTGCTACGTATGAGGCAGCAAGCGAGGCACTTGATACGGATCCTCACGAGGACCCTGTGAGTTTGTCACTACTGCTATTGCCATCTGACACTTAGGAAAGTTGGTCGAGCAAAGACAAGGTCACAGAGTTAATAAAAGAGACAGCAGCACTGGAATTTCAACCTGGCCAATCTGACTGCTGGCTCGAGGACTGCCTAGTAGCATTGTTTGTAAAAACAAAAACTTGAACACAAACTCAAAAGACCTTGATGTGCGGACAGGTAGATGAATATGGTAAGTGTTCTGCTAGGGAAGGGAAGGGAAGGTCGCTGGGACACGCCCCCCTGGGGGAGGGGCCCAGAGCTCGCGGCGCCGAGCACCGCCCTGCCCTGCGCACGGAAGGACGGGGACCCAAGAAACCCCTCGTGCTCCTCTCCGCTCGGGAGGGCTGGGCACCCAGGCAGGGGTCTACCTTTGTAATCGTGTTTTAGTACTTTCATGTGCACGTTATTTTTCAGTAAATACATGCAGTTAAGTAAAAAGCCACACACATATACATGCAAACATATTAAAAGTGCCACCCTCATTTTTTAAAGGGAGGAATGAGGTCAACGAGAGAAATGTCCAAGCCTTTAAGAATTTTTATGAATTTATCTGAGCCAAATGGACGGCAATTGCTGGGAAGCAAAATCTCAACAGATTGAGAAAATGATCCGAAGAACGCCGATTTTGCACCTTATTTTATGCATTAGCCTCAAAGGAGGATGCATGAGGGGATGACATGAAGCGCATTGGTCATAACTTAGGGAGGGCGGGGGAAAGCACAGCAGGGGACACCTCTGCGGGTTGGATAAAGGGTCCAATGGGGAGACGCATGCGGCCCGGGAGGGTTCGCAGTTCGCAGTTTGTGGCCCCCACTCCGCTGCAGGGACTGCACCCCGAGGGGCCTGGAGAAAGGGGGCACCCCGACATTCCGCGGGTTCGCTGCTGCAGAGGCAAACAGACCAGAGGCGGGCGCGGTTGAGGGACAGGCTGACCTCTGTCAGGGACGATACCGGCCTGGGCCTGGGTTGCCCTCCACACCCCGCCGCTGGTTAGAATGCTGCCCTTCCAAGCGCCCCGTGCGGCTACGTGCGGTCTCGGAGTTGCTAAGGCCACCCCGCGGGCTGCCCTGGGCTTGTCAGGGGTAGACGTGCCCCCTCACCCACAACTGCTTTACAAAGAAGATGAAGAAAACCGCTCAGTTATTTTCCTTGCTGACCGTCACCTCTTAGCGCGGATGCTAAGTCCGAGGAAGCAGCAGAGAACACGGCTTCTTTTGCCGCTTTTTCAATTGAGACCTGCTTTTAACAGCCCTTGTCCTCGAGACAGGGCGAGGGGACTGAAGTGAGGCCTAGAGGAGGGGCCCCGAATGCAACGGGAGCCCGAGGTAGGGAAGGGGGAGCGCCCTGCAGGGCACTTTTCCCCCCTCCAGGCAGCTCAGCTGCCGCCTCTCCCTCCAATGACCTGCACACACCCTCAGGCACCAGGGCTTCCAGCTGCCGGAGCCTCCGCGTGTCCTGCAGAGAAGCGGCAGGCACAGGAGGGCGCCTCAGAATGAGGGGGTACCTGGCTCCCAGCCTGTGCGTGGCCGTGTCTCGCGTTCCAGGCTGGAGACCCCGCAGGAGCAGAGCCGGCCGGGCTGGGAGCAGGGCGGGCGGCCGCTCCCACTGCCTCCGGGGCCCCCCTCGCTAGAGCTGCTTTCTCCGCCTGTCTCAGGTCCTCAGCCCTCCTGCCCGCCTGCCCCCGCCCGCCTCCCTGAGTGACCTCACATTGAGAGCGGGGACTCCTAGCCTCTAAGAAGTGGAGCGTCTGTCCAAGGTCATGCAGTGTAGCAGCCGCGAGCGACGGCCGTTTAACCCAAGTCTGTTGTGTGCCAGGCACTGGGCAGCGGGGATGCAGCTGCGAGCAACACGCTCTCTCCCCCTGCGATCCCTGCTACCCGCCCGGGCCTAGAGCCGCTCCCCCACCGCATGGCACCCGCCTGTCTAGCCTCTGCTCGCCCTTCAGCTCTCAGTCCTTGTGCGGGGAAACAGGATCTATTTCTCTCTGCTACTAAATTCTGAAGAATGTTACTTTGGATACACATTAATGAACGTTGAGTCTGCTCAACAGGTGAGAAAATCAACTCAATATCTAGGCTGTTAAACGAACGAGTCCTCCAAATGCACGTTCTGCCTTCTGTTATGTCAGACAGCATTGCCACCTAGTGGGCAGGAACAAATTCTCCCTGGAACTATATGCCACGCATGTTGTCTGGTAAATCACTGTGAGCAGGGTTAACATTCTGGAACAGGCTATTTCAGGAAGAATTCTGTTGGTCTGCAGCTTAGGAGATCTGACTGCTCAGCCCGAAGGGACCTGAGATTTCTTTCCACATGTGACTTTAAGGCTCAGTCTGACAGTACCACGTGTGTGAGATTCTGGGGCTGGGATTTCGCATCGAGTCCTGTAAAAAGGAAACTGAAAAGTCTGCCCCCCGGGCCCGTGGAGAAGGTGCAGGGGGTCATGTATGTTTGGTGGATTAGCGCACGTGTCCCACCGAGAGAGAGTGCCAGACACAGTGTGAGCGCCTCCGTAGCTGACATTTTTCGGGGGGGGAGCATTAAAAAAAGGTAAAAAGACACAAGTGAAATCAATTGTGAGTAGATACATTAACTCAACATATGTAAAGTATCATTTCAACATGTAATCAACACCAAAAGTTATACGAATGTTTTACATTGTTCTTCTTGTGCTAAATCTTTGAGGTCCGGTCCGTATTGTACATTTCAGTGAAGACCAGCCACATTTCAAAAGCGCAATAGCCAGCCTGTGCGGCCTGCGGCCACCCCCTGGATGGCGCAGGTGTCGACCGGCCTTGTCGCGTGAGCTAGTTGATGACGCAGCGGGAGAGCAGACGGGATCGGACCTAAGCAGGAGAAAGCGCGGTCGCAGACCCCGGGGCTCCACGGTTTTCCCCTAAACTAGGCACCATCCCCTTTGGGACGCTGAAATACAGCACCGAGAGGCCTAAAGACACGCCATTCCGGACTAACCGACACTGTGAGCAGGCGCAGCTGACATTTGGCTACGCGGGCTTGCGCGCACGCGCGGAAAACCGCCAGGCCTCTCCCAGCTCTGCGGGTTTTTAGCCATAGTGACCCTGCCCTCCGCCTTGCTCGCCAGTTTCACACGGAAGGCAACGTTCCTTCCCAGCGTTTTGGTTCTGGAGAGAAATGGCGTCATGATGAACTTCGCTTTCCACTTTACCTAGAGCAGACGACCTGAATGTAACTTGCTATATACTCTTGAACGTACACTTACCATCTGGGCTCTATTCAGCGATCCTTGTCATCCCGCGCTGACGGGAAACACGGGCAGTCGGAGCCCCTAGGTGGACTGGCTGCTGTTCCAAAGTCAAGGGACACGGTGCCCGCGCTTGTCACCGTTCCCACTCCGGAAACCCGGTTTCCTGGCGTGTCCTTTATGAATTTAGATGGCATGCTTACTACGTTCCTCAAACAAAGCCAGAGCCGTCTGACTACGCTTTGTACATTTTGAGCTGTCAAAAGAGGTCCGGGGAGGGAGGTGACAGGCGGCCACCAGGGCCTCGGGCAAGGAGGGGAACGCTCGTGCTCAAAGCGGCTCGGGGAAGAGGGAGACCTTCCCTCCCTCTGGGAACAAGAGTCGGGAAATGGGAGCGCAGACTTCGGCGCCACCTGCGGCAGGTGTGACAGGCGCCGGTGGGCCCGACGCACCACGTCCACAAAGACGGCTATGGGAGGGTTTGACGGAGTAATAAGAAACGCTGGCCTCAGGACTAAGGTCGCGTCGCCCCGAGTTGCAGGGCAGAGGTGTCCGCGCGCCTCCCGACCCCTAAGAGTCAAAATGCAAGAAGCCCGAACGTCAAGGTTCTGCTCACGGCCGGGAGCCCGCGGAACAGGGCTGCACACAACACGAGGAGCCGTGCTCTGCACATGCGATACGTCGTCCCGCCGTTGTCTGCGGCTGGCGGAGGCCGCCCTGCGAGCAGTCGGAGGTCAGGACCCAGGACAACGCCCGGACGTTCTCGCGCAGAGACGCGCCAGGCCCACCACGCAGGCGCAAGCAAGCGGGGCCGAGGCGGGCGGCGATTGGTTGGACTCGGGCGGCCCCCTCCCCTGGACGGGGTCACGTGGCCGTCGGGGCGGGCGAGCGGATTAGACGAGTTTTTCCAGCTGCGCGCGGCGTCTTCTCCGGAGGTGAGGACGGCGCCGCTCGGCTGGGGGCCGTCGTGTGCGGTGCCGCGTACAGGACTGAGCGGTTCCCTTCAGCGGGTGAGGGCGGTGGCTGCCCGAAAAGCCGCTTCCTGCTCCCGCCCGCCGGACTCGGTCCTCCCGTGACTCCGCGGAGCCCCAGTAAGTGGGTTTTTAGAACGGCGGGAGCGGGCCGGGGCGGGGCGGTCGGTAAAGCGCGGGGCTACCCCATTGGTTGGGCCGATTTTGGCGCGCTCTCTGTCCGCGCTCCCTATTGGCTGGCGCGCGCAATGGGAACCCAGCGTCCCCTGCTGGTCGGGGTCGGAAGGCCTTGCGGCCGGCGGTGTTGCGGGCTCTGCCCCGCGCCGGGCTGTCCGGAGGCGGAACGGGAACGTCCACCCCTCTGGACTAGCGACTGACGGTGATCGGGGGCGGCGGTGGGGCGCACACTTGGGCTCGAGGAGAAGGTCGCCGAATCCTGGTCCCCGGTAGAAGAGCGGCACTGGTGTTGGTGACCCCGGTTCACCTGTGTGTTAACATTTCCTTTGAACTTACCCTAATCGGTGACTCTTAGCATTTGTAATGTGACTTGGGCAAAAGCTCTTTTAGGTCGCAATTTAGGACGCAGCCATCCGGCTACATAATATTCGCGAAGCAGAACCAGCTCCCCACAAGCCTGCACGCCGACGTTTTCTCGTTTTTTCAGTTTCATTATGATGAATTTTTCCAAACCGTGTTGGTGATCCAGGGAGTGGTTGGTTGTGGGGTCCCGGGCCGCGAACCCGTTTGGAAAACGTCACCCTGACTCAATCTAGTGGGTGCCGACCAGCATTCGCTTTACACAGAATAGAATAGAAAATTGGGTGCATCTCTTAAACTTCTTAGTTTGCAGTCGTGTGCCAGGTCACACAGTAAAACGCACGTGTGATGGGTCATAGTCAAAGTATCAGAGGGGCCCCCCCCCCCCGTCCCCCCCGCACTGAGTAAAGGCAGGGCCACACATCAGGGAGGTCTCGCTCCTGGGGGTCCTGGGGCGGGTTTGAGTGGGTGGGGCCCCGTGGTGTGGTTCACCTCAATACATGTCCCTTTATCTGCCGCCCTCCCTTCTCAGCTCCTGGTGGTGCTGAAACATGGCCTACAGATATAAATGCATAATAATCTCATTCAGTCGAATATTAAGCCGCTATCAGGTTTATTGCCGGCTGCCAGAGCCAAGTCGGTCATAGCTGTCTGCCGTGGGGGGGGGGGCGGGGGGGCGCGACATCGGGGTGCGGCTCCCCAGGACCGAGGAGGGCATGCCCGGTGCCTGAGCCGCTGTCCTGGGCCGCCTCCCCGATCTTTCAGAGCCCAGTGTTTCCTCCAGGACGCAAGCATGTTTTGTGCGCTTGTTCAGAATATACGTATTTTTTCAAGTCAGAATTACTGTGTGTCTGTGTATATAAAATACAGGCAGCGAGAGTCACTGACTTCTGCCCCTTCAGTCATCGCCGAGTGGAGAAGTGGTTCCACCGTGCTGGGGTGATCCTCTAGGCTCCGCCCTCGGGCCCAGACCACATCCTGCTTTCGAATGACTGCTCTTGTGTCCCCCCCAGGCGCACCATGAACCCCACCATGAAGCAGAAACCAGAAGGGACCCAAGGGCACGTGAAGGTATGTGGTGGGGCCCCGCTCCTCTCTGGGGAAAGCGTGTGCCTCAAGTGTTTTGACGCAGTGTAGCCAAATTTGACCTGGCTATAGTTTCTATCAACTTTAAATTACGAAATTTTTGGCCAGAAGAAAAGTAACAGTAAAGGACTATTAAAGAATTATGGTCGAATGTTAAAATTTCTGGTCCACAGACATGAGCTGTCTTCCCACTTATTTAAGTCTTTAGTTTCTTTCGACAGTGCATTGTAGTTTTCAGAATATTGAGCTTCACACTTCTTTTGTTAACTTTTTCCCTAAAATGTTTTGTTTTTAATGCAATTGTAGATGGAATTGTTTCCTTAAATTTTCATTGTGCTTGTTGTTCCTGTATAGGAATACAGTTGATTTTTGTATCTTGAATCCTGCAAACTTGCTGAACTTCTTTATTGGTTCTAGTGGTTTTCAGTAGATTCCTTAGGGTTTTCTATAAACAGGATTATTATTGGTTATTATTGCTTTCCTTCTCATGGAGTCCTTGCTAATTATATGCAAAATTCTGGGTGAGTGTGCTCCTGTGTGTTGTTTTCTTTTTTTTTAAAGAGGTTCACAGAATTTCAAATTGTTTTCTAAAAAGATTAAGGTCCATAATATATAAGAACCTTTTTGGTTGTAATGAATCTGTTATTCCAATGCGTAATCTGTATAAAGAGAATGATAATAGCCATATTACATTTTGGGGATAGGTGCTCTAAAGCTTTCATTACTAAAGGTAAATCTTGGAGACTGTCTTCTATTATGGAAACTCCAAAGCTGCATTTGTTTCTGTTTGTCTGGAGACTGTGGACTGATCTCAGTTACGCCTGAAGCACTGGGTGTTGCGTTTGCTCTCACAGAGGCCAGCGCTTGTTCTTCAGTTCAGGGGCGAGCGCGTCACCGGCGGGGAAACCCGACCGTGGGAAGGCGCGCCCCGGCCTGCGGGCGCAGCGTGCCGCCCGCCGCTTTCTCACGGGCTCCGGTGTCCTGTTCTGGCTGACCTTGTTGGAGGACCTGCCATTGTTTGCTGTCCCAGGGTGGCAGGATAACGGATGGGTTTTTGCAAAACTCGGAGCTTTCAGAGCAGGAAACAGACGGGAAGGTATTTACATGTTACAAGGAAGGCTCTGTTTTTCCCCAAACTGCGGCGTGGGCCCCTGCGGCAGCCAGCGTGCCGGCCCGGACAGGCGGGCCACGGGCGGGTGTCTCCCAGCGGCCGGGCTGGGAGCCAGGCTGCTCCTCGGAGCGGCTCGGTGGGAAGGGTGCTCTCACGCCGCGTCCCGTCGGTGGACACGGAGAGGTGCTGGGGACAGTGAGGACGGAAGGAGGTCTGAGGCGGGTCCCGCTGGTGAGCGGGGAAGGGCTTTGCAGTGGGAATGATTGACTTTGCCCCCAGTTTACCTCTTCTGTGGGTTTTACCATAAACGTGTCACGTTTGGGTGATGCGGTGCACTCATTCTCAGAGTTTCTTCAAACTTTATTATAATTCTATTTATTTTTTTCTTTATTGTGATTTTAGGTAAATAAGTTTGTTTAGTTGGTTAAACTGATGTCTTCTTCACACATAGCATTGTAAAATTACATAGCTGACCAAACACAGGGTGGGGCAGAAGTAGGTTTACAGTTTGTATAGAAAGTAATACAATAATTAATCAAGAATAATACAAGAATAGCCCTGGCTGGTGTGGCTCAGTGGGCTGAGCGCCAGCCTGTGAACCAAAGGGTCTCCAGTTCGATTCCCAGTCAGGGCACAGGCCTGGGCTGCGGGCCAGGTCCCCTGCAGGGGGTGTGTGAGAGGCAACCACACAGGGATGTTTCTCTCCCTCTCTTTCTCCCTCCCTTCCCTTCTCTAAAAATAAATAAAATAAGAACAAGAATAAACTGTGTTTGCCGTCCTCACCACTGTGAACCTATTTTGCCTACCCCTGGGGCAGTGTTCTTAGCATTGTCTTCTCCTGCAGTTAGTAGGACTAAGGCAGGGGCCGTCCACATGGCACTCAGTAACCGGGTGACGAATTCTCTCGACATTTAGAATAGCCCCGTCCCGAGGAGAACCCTGAAGATGATCCAGCCTTCCACGGCCGGGCCCCTCGTGGGACGGGAGAACGAGGTACGTGGAGGGCACCGCGCGAGCCCCTCGGGGATGCCCAGGCGTTCCTGCTGGGAAGTAGCTGGAGAATGGCTGTTGGTTTTCCCCACCAAAGGGGTTGCTATGTTAATTGATCACTTGAAGTTCCAATTTGATATTAATAGAACACTGGTGTGATGTTGGTAGAGCTGAGGTGACATAATACGTTATGAATTAACCTACAGGAAGAATGTTTGGATGTTTTTAGAATGAAAAAATGGTAGATTCCTTCCTTCTGTATATAAGTGGCAAAATTATGGATGAACGTGTCTGGACTTTCGCAGGTGGAAAATACTGCCTTTCCATGGTACTGAATTATTTCAGTAATAAAAATGATTTCAGTTAAGCCTTAGGTCCAAGTCTAATCCAAAGCAGTTGCTGCAAATGAAATTTCTAAAATATACCTATGCATTTTGGTAGAGTTTTAAATTGTGATTTTTTTAAAAAAAGAAATTCCAAAGATATCAGAAAGATACAGATAAATGAGCACTCCTTTTTTAGTACGTAAATGACAAAACCACTGAGCTTTCTTTTTTTATTTCTTAACGAATTTATTAAACAATGATTGTATAGTCTTTTAAAAGTTTGTGCATATTTATCCTTTGCCTCTACACTGCCTTTGATTTTTTCCTTCTGATTTTTTTAATTTCTGCTTTTAACCAATGGTTCCCCCTCCCTTTCCTCCTCTCTTTTGCCTCTTTTCTCTGGACTCAAGCGATGCATGTTGTCCTCTGGCGGTTCTTTCTTCTCTGAACGCACATTCTTCAGAAGCTGTGCTTGCTCTAGTTCCCAAGTCCACTCAGCTTTCCTGTTCATTTTAGATCAAAATAAACGAGATTGACGTCCGTGTGTCCCTTGTAGTTGGTGAAAGGCTCGCCCAAAGTGAAGCTCTGGGATGACCGGTTAGCATCGAAGAAACGCAGCCCTGGGGTTGCCGCTGTTCCAGAGCGCGGCGGCAGCGCAGATCCCGGAGGAGCCGCCCAGGAAGCATTCGACCTCATGGTTACAGGTATGACAAAAATATACGTGCAACTTTTATCTTGGAAACTTCCATTGTAGTAAAGGTCAGTTTTATTTGTTACACTGTTATAAATTCTGACCACAGCCTCTTAAGCTGGAGACACTATTATATAGTTTACTGGAATATTTTGATAATATTTCCTCTGGTTGTAAATATACAAACACTAAATTTGGACAAGTTCTACTATTTCCTAAGATCCAAATACGGATGAAATATTAAAGAAGAGGTTAGTGATTAATGTGGCATCTTGGATACCAGTCTTTCCAGGAAAATAAAAGTGTCGAGAGGCTGATTTGCAGGAGGGAACCTGAATGCCCTGGGAGAACAGGACGCGGGGAGCCCGCAGGAACGAGGTGGGGGCGAGTGGCGTGTGGCGGGATAAAGGCTGGTGTTTAACGGCGTGGCGGCCGGCCCCGGAGGGCAAGCCGGAGGGGCTCCTGAGCAGTATGGACGGTCGGCGGCACTGTTCTCCACGGAGGGCGTGGAGGCGCACAGGAGTTAGCGGCGTCCTCGAGGCTGGAGCGTCCCCGGGCTGCTCCGGGCCCGCCTGGAGGCCCCCGAGGAGGGAGGCCCGCGGGCAGTGGGGTTCACTGGGCAAAGGGCAGGAAAGGCTGGCCGCGTGGAAGTCGGGGCTCTCCAGCGATGCTGCGGACGCCAACCGCAGGGTTTGCGGCGCTCACTCAGGTCCGACGTGGTTACCGTTGCGGCACAAAACACTCAAGTTACGTGCAGAGACGAACAGTGCGACTCCATGTCATAGTGCTAATGTAGCCGCACAGACGAAAACGATGAGTCCGTGTAACTCGGACACAGAACTCAAACTATAGACCCTCAGTGGGCTGCCTGGAAATTCTTAAAATGTCAGGAAAAATAAAGTAGAAAAAAATTGACTTGGTTTTCTAACTTAACTTTTATAAAAATGGGTATTAATAAGATTGTAAACTTTGGGGGGGGGAAGATTTTATTTACTTATTTTCAGAGGGAGGGGAAGGGAGAGAGAAAAGAGAGGGAGAGAAACATTAGTGTGTGGTTGCCTCTTGTGTTCCCCCTGCTGGGGACCTGGCCCACAACCCAGGCCTGTGCCCTGCCTGGGAATCGAACTGGCGACCCTTTGGTTCGCAGTCTGGCACTCAATCCACTGAGCCACACCAGCCAGGGCTGTAAATTGTTTTTTAAATAGAAAGAAAATTCTGGGGTTTTAATAGCAGCGAGGCACTGTGGTGGTTTTCAAAGTTACATGTAAAACATTAATTTGTTTTAGAAAATCCGCCCTCTCAATATTGGAAAGAGATGGCAGAACAACGGAGAAAGGCTCTCTATGAAGCCCTGAAGGAAAACGAGAAAGTACGTACATAATAGAATTCTTGGCATTTTTATTTTTATTTTTTTAAAGATTTTATTTATTTATTTTTGAGAGGGGAAGGGAGGGAGAAAGAGAGGGAGAGAAACACCAGTGTGTGGTTGCCTCTCACACACCCCCTACTGGAGACCTGGCCTGCAACCCAGGCCTGTGCCCTGACCGGGAATCGAACTGGAGACCCTTTGGTTCGCAGGCTGGCGCTCAGCCCACTGAGCCACATCAGCCAGGGCTATTTTTATTCTTTTTATCCTCATTTGAGGACATGCTCATTGATTTTAGCGGGAGGGAGGGAAACATTGATATGAGAGAGGCTCTTCGATTGGTTGCCTCTGGTATATGCCCTGAATAGGGACCAAACCCACCACCCAGGCATATGCCCTGACCAGGGTTCAAACCTGCGACCTTTCAGTTTAGAGAATGATGTTCCAGCCAACTGAGCCACATCCGCCAGGGCGCAGTGTGTGCGTTTCAGTATTCCATGTGCTGCTTAGCCTGTTTGGATAGAGCAATATAAGCTAGCTGTAATTTGGCCTGAGAAAAGTTTCACTGTCGGACAGGTGACTGTTACTAGGATTATTACACAAAAAGAAGACGCCTGTTGTGTTGAGAGCCAAAGACGGCGCCTTCGTTAGGGACTTCGCCAAATGTGTCCGTCCGCTATATCCTGGGAGACATACCGTGTGGTCTGTTGCATGGGAATCTGGGGAACACTGAACTTTGTGTGTGTCGTGTAGCTTCATAAAGAGATTGAACAAAAGGACAGTGAGATCGCCCGCCTGAGAAAGGAGAACAAGGACTTGGCCGAAGTGGCGGAGCACGTGCAGGCCATGGCGGAGGTCCTGGAGGTGGGTGTTGCGCGCCCGGCCCCGCCTCCCCGTCCTCTCTGTGCCTGAGCGTGATGAGCCCGTGTTGGGCTCTGCATGCCCCGCCGGGCCCGTTGGGTCTGTTGGGTGAAGCGGGTGGGGTGTCCTGCTGGGGCTTCATCCCCCGTCTGTAGAAGGGCCTCCCCCGTGGGCTTGGGGTGAGAACAGGGAGCTCCAGGACGTGCACGTCGGGGGTCGTGTCCGCGCTTGGAGGGGGCCCTGGAACCGTGAGGTGCTGGTGTTTGGTATTATGGAGGAAGAGAACATCGTTGGGTTTTTTTTTTTTTTTTTTTACAAGGATATACAAAGAATTATATCTGAAAAATTATGGAAAGGTGTTGTATTTCACAGTGGTTACATCTTTAGGCAGTTTTTAATTTAACTTTAATGCCAGGGTGACATTGTTTTTACGAAGCTGTTCGTTGGTCTACTAAATAAGCTTGGTGGTCTCACCTGACTTTCTTTAAAATTTAGAAACAGCTAATTTGTAAGAATTAGTCTCATGACTGTTGCTGTACCAGTCTTTGCCTAAAAAATAAGTCTTAAACTTACTCATGTTTGCCAAAAAGAAAATCATCTTGCTGATAAAGGTTTTCAAATTAAACCTTTTTCGTACTGAATCGCTTACATTTTCGGGCCGTGACAGCCACGTGCCTTTGCTGAAATACGTTCTAACGTGGGGGGGCCTTAGACAGAAGTCCAGGTTTTCGGTGACCTTAATTGAGGGACATCCTGAAGAGAACCTCATCAGGACGCGAAGGCCGGTTGTATTCATACACTGATGAGGGATGTGGGTTTGCAAAGTCGTGGTGATAAATTTTTGGTTTATTTAACAGAGACTGAAAGGCGAACCCCTGGGTGGCTTTGAATCGCCGGATGGTCAGGACTCTGACTCGGAAGAGGACACCGGCGAGGGCTCCGGGGGGGAAGACTCAGGAGCCGAGGGCTGCACGAAAGAGGCCGCATCTTCCTCCCCGCACGCAGGGCCCTGCGCGTGAGGGCCGGGAACATTCGATATGAGACACGTGCCAGCCCGGGTCCCCTGCCTGCAGTTCTTTGTAGCAGAGCAAACAGCTGTGCACTGCAGACTTGAGATCACGCCTCCCTGATGGAATCCTGGGACCTTATTATTGTATTAAAGCACAAATACTATGTATTTTTAATCTGTGGCATTTTATGTAAATAGCATTTTCTCAGATGTCAGACACTACTTGTGTACATGATAAATAAACTTAAGTGTCCCGTTGAGCGTAGTGTGTTTCTTGGGAAAATGGAGTCTAAGGAGTAAAATTTGTCTATGCCCGTGGTTTTATATTGTTTTCTTTCTATTCCTGTTATTTTGGAGAAAATGAGGAGAGAGAGAATTTGCATCCTTCTTTAGGCAGAAATAGTCGAGGTTTCACTCCCGAATCTGGTCGTTAGCCGAAGCCCTCCGTCGGGACTGTTGGTGTCCGGACCCCGGGGCCAGCTCTTCCTCCCGAGGCGTCGGGACGGAGGTGAGCGCGGCGCTTCCGACGCGCTCACGCGCACCTGAGCCGCGAGTGAAGGCCCCTGGGAAGCTTGCAGTGATGGGAAGGGCCTGCGTGGGGGCAGGTGGAGTCCAAAGGGAAGGGCATGCGTGAGGGCTCTGGAACGTTCTGTGCACTCGTGTCTCGTGGTAGAGCACAAAGCACATGTGTATGGGAGGAATAAGTAAGAGCAGCGTAAAATGAATTGGGCGGTTCCCATAAGTCCTTCTGGAGGAAGGGAAGGACAGGGAAACCGCAAAGCGCCCAGCGTTGCGACTGCCCGTGTTCTGGGGGAGGGCACACAGGGGCCTTGGTGTGAAGTGGCCACAGGGAGTGGGGTCAAGCGTTGAAGGATTACCTGAGGCCGGCTGTTGGTCCTTCCCGATGTTAATTGCCTTATTTCTAATATTGAGATAAAGTCTGCCTCTTTACTGCAGTGCCTGAATGGAGTCGTGAAAAATGGAAGCTATCATTAATCTACAGCAAGGACATCCAATAAAAGTTCCTGAGTCGGAAGTAGCTGTGGGGTCCCGTACAATAGTGTCAGCGGCATGTGGCCGTGGAGCGTCGGACCGTGGCTGCTGTGGGGGTAGCGGCCGCTGTATCGGACGGTGCGGGTCTCGAGGTATTGCTGGTGGGGTGAGGCTGCCAGCCTGGAGATGGAATTGAAGAAGAGAGAATCCTTTTTTTTTTTGGTAACATGATAAAAATGATTTAAAGAATTTTGCCCTGGCTGGTGTGGGTCAGCAGATTGAGCACAGGCCTGCACACCAGAGGGTTCCTGGTTCAATTCCCAGTCCAGGGCACATGCCTGGGTTGGGGGCCAGGTCCCCACTAGGGGGCGTGTGAGAGGCGATGTTTCCCCTCTCTCTAAAAATAAATGAAGTCTTTAAAAAAAATGATTTAAAGAAGTCTGGGTTAAGGAGAGCAGGAAATGAGCTGAAAGGCTGTCAAAACGGGGCATAAAGGAGAGCTACGTAGAATAGGGTAACCTGGGGAATAGGAAGTATTTCTGGAAAATGCCAAAAATAGGTTGCCAGGGTTTGGTGGCCGGGAGCAAAATAAAGCTATTAATCTAGAAGAAAATATAGGGGAAAAACCCTAGTGACCTTGGATTTGGCAAACACTTCCCAAATAGGACACTCCTAGTTTCTCCCTAAGACAGCAAAGTGTACCCCCACAGGAAGACGAGTGTGCAGAGTTTCCGTTTCATCGGCAGCAGCCGGGGTGCCTGTGCACAAGTGAACGGGTAAGTGAATCGCGGTACAGCCGTGCAACGGAGCATGCTCAGCAATGGGAACACGCGAGCCAGACGTGGACGGTGCCCGCGGCGCTGAGGGAGAGAAGCCGGGCAAGAGCCCCCCGCCCCCCCTCCCCGTCCCGTGCGCTTCCACCTAAATGTGGTTGTGAGACTGCAAAGCCGCGTGACAGCAGAGGGGTAGCCTGGGGGTCGAGTGTGTGTGTGTCTCTGTGTGTGTGTGTCTGTGTGTGTGTGTTGGGGATGCATTTCAAGAGGAAACTTGGAGGGGCGTTCAGGCTGCAGCACCTGGGAACTGCGGCCCGAGTTGATCGAGGGCATTTGGACAGACTTCCTTTAGACAATGAATCTGATTTTCCGTTAGATACCAAATGTCAGAACCGCGGCTTGACGTCCGGGTCCTGGAGGCCAGGAAACAACCTCGGCCCAGGACAGGGCTGACGCGACACAGGCGGGGTGTCCGGGGGCCGTGGGTTGGGTTAGGGTTGGCATGTCTGGGTGCCCTGGCTTAGTGACATGTAATGCCCCCCACATCCTGCCAACGCCCCTCGCACCCGCCTGTGACCTCCCGTTTCGTGAACCCAGTCTCCGTGACGTTTAAAAAACATCAGTGTGTTCTCTAAGTTTGGTGCTTGAAGAAACTGGAAATTGACTTGGGAGTTTTCCGCCACGGAAAAGAAGAACACTGAAGAGGGCTCCACCGCCCCTTCTGTCGTTTATTTCTGTCCTCCAGGGTCACGCCCGGGGGTGGGCGGAGAGGAGTTAATTCTTGTGGAAACCGATCAGGAAATAGAGCACCTGCGCGAAGTTCTCCGGCCACCCAGACCAGTTCTCGTTGGCCAGCTGCTGCAGGTGGTATTTCAGGGAGCTGTGCTCCTTCAGCTCCTCCATGAAGGCGCAGTTATTGCACGTCATCACAGAGAGGACGTAGCACGTCCAAAATTTCACCAGGAGGTGGCTGTTGACTTCACTCTTGGAGGTCAACTCAAGCGGGTTGTCAAAAGTCGCGGTGAGAATCGGGATGAACTGCAGACACCGGGCTCGCCGCTGGCTGGTGGGGTCCAGGTAGCACCAGCACGCCACGCCCTGGAGCAGCAGGATTCTCGCCTTTGGTGCCATCTGGTGATTTTGCAGCAAGAGGGCTACCTCCTTCATGTACTCACTTGCGAAGATCCCTGCCGCCGGGCCTCCTGCAAGACAAGCATTTGCGTTTCCAGAAGGGACCCGGGGTCCCTGGTGGCCAGTGACAGGCAAGCTCAGGTTTTCCTATTCCAGTTGCTACCTACGGACACTTGGGGACTTGGGAGCCTGTGTGGTGACGTGAGAGGCTTTGGGAGGCCTCTGCCTGCCCAGCTCCCTTTGAGGCCCCTGAGAAGCCTGTGTTCGCCCAGTCCCTCTTCCCCCGCAGCCTCGTCCCTGATTCCCCGCCTTCAGGACGTGAGGGAACACTGGCGTTAGAGCGGCAATGGGAAGACCGGAAGGCTGAGCTGCAGAGCCGGGTCTGGCAGTCGGAGAGGCGGCTCGCGAGCTGCCGGTCGCTCTGCCCTTCTCTCCCGACCTCCTAGGCCACGTCACAGCCCAGCTCCCACAGGGCGGGACCCACGTGGCCTCGCAAGCTTTCCCGGCTTTGCTCTCTGAGCCTGGCCTGGTCGCGGACTCCACTTTTTTTGTCTGTGTACCTGACCCCCGATCTTCCTAGCTCCAACCCCAGACTCTGAGGAGGCAGAAGCCGAGAAAGCAGCGTGGAGACTCTGAGATGGTGGGAGCAGCTGGTGTCTTTGGCCAGAGCCCAGCCCTGAAGTGTCCACCCGGCCTGCGTTTCCCTTTATGTCCCAAGAACGTTCTCGTCAACATCAAAGCCTTAGCTGAAGCCAGGGCATAAGCCTGTTCCCTGGCTTCCCACTAGCACAGCTGGAGCTGAGCAACATCAAGTTACGGGGTTCTGACCCTCTTACAAGCAGCTCTTCCCCCAAAGGGGGAAACAGCCGTGGAAGGAGCTGGGCCTGCCCCGCGGCGGGAGTCTGTTTCCTGTCTTCTCTCCATCTCTGTGGTCCTTGGAGACAGTAAATGTTTTCTCTCATGGACACATTCTTTGAAAGATTTAGTGTATCAAACTACATCTGAGTAACCCATTAAAAACAATACTGACACAGCTACCAGCCAGCACTTTTCATAGGGAGACGTGTTGCTGAGGACTGTCGATCAATAACGTCTCATGGCACATCCTGAAATTTATGAGGAAAAAAAAAAAGAACGAGTTCGGACTGAATCATTAGAGCGCTGCGTGTTTAAATGGCTTGCTGCTGACTTGGCTCGCCAGGCAGACAGTAATCGCTGCTTCCCACGGGGGCGCCTGCCCGGTGTTTTAAGAGCAGCGAGTCATTTGTTTTTCTAAGCTATTTTCTGTGCCATGCATTCCTACAAGATAAAAAAAAAAAATGAAGTAGTCTGACTCCTCAGGTTGGAGTTATATCACCTCTCAGTGTAAATCCTTTGATTTTTTTAAAAAAATAATACGAACTTTGATAGTCAATTTTAGTATATATATATTTTTAACTAATAAAAGCAGGAACAATTAGTAATTCGTTTGATGGACACACTTTACAAAAACAGATCCTTGAGGAGACAATAACGAGTAGTATCGTCCGTGGCACAAAGACAAAAATACTAATAATTTAGCACAGGAAGCACTACCGGATTTCAAGACTAGAACTAGGAAGACCGCTAATCGCAGCGCGGTCGTGGGTGAGAGGGTTCTGAGACGGCGGGCTGAGCGCGCAGGCTAAGTCAGTACCTGTGAAGGCCAGCAGTCCGATTCGGTAGGCCGCCTGAGCCCTGTTTTCCATGGCCAGAGATTTGTCCTTCAGCATCTGGCCAAGCACCACCATTTTTTCCTTGTGAAAAATTCTCTCCACTGGAGGGATCTGTTCTTCCTCTTCCTGCTTCACGAAAGAGTCCTTCACGCGGGCGCTCCAGAGCCTCCGCAGGCACTGGTAGAGCCCCACAAAGGGCCGACGAACCCAGGCGAGAAACTGCAGGCGGGGAGCCTGGGCCCGGGCCATCGCGGGAGAGTGGCCGAGAACTCGGAGCACGTCGCCTAGCAACACAGGAGCGAGGACGACACAGGCCGCGGAGCAAGGGGTGCTGGGGGCGTGGGCAGGGGACACAGGTAGGTGACGACGCTTTTGTCCCTGGAGGAGTTCACGGTCTTTTCTCTCCTGTTAGTTTGACCAAATATTTGAGAAGTAAATACTATTATCCTCATTTCCGAATGCAGGAATTTCAAGTGGAGAACGAGGTGTAGTGTGTATGTACCAGCCCAAGAGGGCACGTGAAAACAGTAGAGCAGACTCTGCGAGAGGCTGGAAATTCAAAAATAACTTTTATTTTAACTTACAGGATCGAGACAGCGGTGAATACAAATGCCACAAAACTAAAGGCACCCCCTTCGCCAAAAAATAAAATGCAGAAGTGAATACAAAAGGGATGGAGTCAATTACTCATGCACTACTCAAAAAATTTAAAAAAAGAACCAACTGCAAACCAAAAACTGTAACATTTGTGATTAAACTTTCTATAGAAAGAACCATTTCAACCATTTAACATGGACTAAAGACTAAACATACTACCTACAGACTGTACAATGTACTTTAAAAGGAAGGTTATCTGCATATATATAATATTTATAAATATACAAATATATATACACAATACAACTTCACAGTCGAAAGGACTCTGCCAGGAAGCCTGGCAAACAACGTTAACTTGAAAATGAAGTAAGAGTTGCCTTGAAAGGTCTTGCTAAAATGTAAATCCTTAAAATACACCTACGTGGTCTCGTATACACACACGCCCACAGCACAGCTTCAGTCACGCGCACACATCACGTGATGTCTTGGCATATCCCACCTCACACACTCTCAAGAGGAAGAGAGGTTCCCTCGGAGGAGCTCCTGGGAGGCCTGGTACTTCACGGTGCGGGCCTGCTACCCCGATCCGAGCCGCGCGGGCGGCTGCCGTTTGGGCTCTTTGGCCACGGGGACCCCGCGGGGCCAGCGACCGCGCTGCAGCGCAGAGGCCCCCTCATCTGCGGGAGTTTTCCCGGAAGCAAGGACCCCCCTCACGCCCCTCCACGTTCTGCGTTCTTCCACCTCACAGAGCAACCCAGCTTCCTGAGCCCAGGCCTTTTGGTTTTGATTTGTCTTAGCAGCAAAGTACCTCTATGGAAAAATATCATTAAAAAAAATGGCTCTTGTGTTTGAAAAAATAAAAGCTTACACTCTTTGTTTTCAGTGCGTTGGGGTATAAGCAGAATAAGATGGTCTGCAGTCATCTACCTGTGTGTTGGTTTTTGTTTGTTTGTTTGTTTGTTTGAACCACCGTGGGAACATGCTTTCAGAATTTTCAGGATGAAGACAAGAAACAGAAGAAATAGTGGACATTTGAAAAACTGGAATTTACAAACACGTTCAACTCGTACAATGTGTCGTTCTACCAGGTTCTGCAGGCAAACTTTTATTTGAAGAAACTCTTTCTCGCGTGTTGCATTTCAGGTAAAATTAGGTGGCTGGCGCGGTGGGGGAGGGGCCCAGCCCCGCGGGCACAGCGGGGACCGCAGGCCGCGCGCGGTTCCCGAGGCGCCGCCCACAGGACGTTTCACGCTCACAGAGGAACTTCCCAAGAAGCACAAACAGGGCTGTTGTGAAATTCCACACGCATCGGGGGGCGAGGGGCCCTTTTGCTGAGTCTTGTCAGACGTGGCTGCCACTGTGAGGAACATGGTTAATCGCACATGCCCCGCGTCCTGGCCCCCGGTGGCGGGGATGCGGAGAAACCCGCCGAGGGCGGCTGGGCAGGGCCATTTCCGATGGCGCCGGCGGCCGCTGCGAGTCCGAGACCGGCCGGCCGTCACAGCGCCCGCTGGCACAAAAGGCCCTTGTTTGGACGGCTCCGTGGCCGAGCCAGCCGGTCGCTAGAAGGCCGTGGCCACTTCCATCCCGGGACGACTTCCCACGCCGACACCATCCCGAGGGAATTTGTCCAGCTGCTCGTACGCCAGCCGCCCGTCTTCCCCTGGGTGACAGTGGGAAAGGGGAACACAGCGTCAGCCTCACGTCCCCGTGCCCCCTCGGGATGAGGAATCGGGGCCGCTGTCCAGGTGTGGGCTGCTGGCTTTGCTGAGGCAGACGAGAGGCAGGGAAAGGGCATCCTCTGCGACCGTTAATTACGTTGTTTCTGGGTGATGTTTAGAAGAGCTAAGGCCAGAGGCGTGAAGGGTGTGAAGGGGTGAGCCCTGGCTGGTGTGGCTCCGTGGACTGAGCACCAGCCTGCGACCCAAAGGGTCGCCGGTTCGATTCCCAGTCAGGGTGCAGGCCAGGTCCCCAGTAGGGGGCGCGTGAGAGGCACCCATACACAGATGTTTCCCTCTCTCTTTTCTCCCTCCCTCCCCCTCTCCCTAAGAACAGATCAAAATCTTAAAAAAAAATATGAAAAGAGAAATGCGGTAGATTTACAGTCTACTGCGGTGTCTGGAAAGGGAGCCTCCCAAAACTGTGTCAGAAATAACCTCTTAGCAGCCGTTCGGGAGTTGACGCCTCACTCCCACGAGGGCAGAGCCCCCGGAAGGGGAGCCGGGCCCGGGGCCTCGGGACTGTGAGCTGCGTGCACCAGAGGGCCGGGCCCGGGCCGAGCGCCCAGCGGAGCGGGCGGGCGGTTCCTCCCACGCTGCCGCCTGCGCGGCTGGGCTGACTCGCTGGACGGCGTCGCCTGCCAAGGTCGCGCTGCAGAGACCTGAGGGGTGGCTGCACGTCATGAACACCTGGCTTCCCTCATGGTTCTTCCAGAACGTAAATGAAGCTCAAACTAAGAGTACCTTGGGCATGTTTTTAGGGAAGCAAATAATTTCTACGCCATAAGGACTAACTGTTGTCCTTTAAATGAGCATGCTGGCTACGATTTCTGTGCCCGTGGCGATACACTCAAGCCCAGTATGGAGTTTCGTTAAACGGTCACCCAGGAAAAACGCTAACGAGGTGACGTTCACAGCGATGATAGACGCCAGGGCATCTCCGTGACCTTGTTAAGCTACCGGAGTCACACCATGGTGGCTTTCTTCCAACCGGAACTAGGGGCTATGACAGCTGAGGACCTCCATGCAAACCATCCTATAAAAACAAAAACAAAACCAGACACTCACCCAGAGACAGGAGGGTTTCCGAGGCCACGTTTCTGATGTCTTCAGCGTTGGACTGGCACAGTGTCACCAGCATTTTAATGCTTTCCGTGGCCTGCAGGGAGAAGGCAGCCAGTCAACAGCGCGTCCTGACATGCTTGTTAGGGCCCCATGAGACTTAGCGTTTCAGAGCCCGTGGGGACTTCCGGCCCAGCTCGGTGTCAGGGGCCCGCGTACAGGTCCCTGGGTGCCCCTCCAAGGTGCCCTGGGATGAAGGTCCTGGGTTGGGGCCCAGGTCCGCACTTGCAGGTGCTCTGACCTGCTAAACCCCTCATTTCTCGGGGGAACCTGGGCACAGAGGAGCGGAGCGCTAGCCTGTCTTTCTGCAGTAGAATCCATGCTTTTCCCTGTATCTCTCTGTCTCCAAAGCAACTCTTTAACATTTAGCTTCTTATTTAGCCAATCTGGAGAAGAATAAAGGTCAAGGATGGGAATTGTCCCGTTTATCCCTCACTGTTGAGCTCTCTCTGCACCAGGCAGCTCACAGGCACGGGGCGGGTTGGGGGGCGGTGTGGTGGCTGGTCAGCAGCAGACACCACTCAGTCCTGGCCCTGAGGACTTTGCAGTCTTGGGGAGGGACAGGTTGTTAAACCACCACAGTAACTACCACAATGAACGACAGGCTGAGTCAGGGTGTGAGGGCCAAACACGACCAGGTGTGATCAGGGAAGACTTCCTGGAGGAAGGAGCATCTTAGAAAAATTAGCCCTGTTCCTTTGCAGCATGTGGTGGTGGTCTCTGTGTGTGTGTGTTTGGGGGTGTTGGAGAAAGAAATAAATTCTCGGCTGTGGGAACAGTGGGTGACAGACAGAGCCAGGTCAAGGGTCTCGGAGGCCACAGGAAGGGTTGGTGCTCGTACCGAGATCACGGGGAGCCACATAAGCGTTTGGAGAAGGATGTGTGTTTATTATGAGCATTCACATCCTGGTGGAGAGGAGGCACGGATGGGAGTTCGGAGTCCAGGGAGGCAGAGACTGGGAGGAAGGATGCTGGGGCCCAGGAACCGCGCAGGGGGAAAGTGGGGGCTGTTCCGGAATGCGGGTTCACAGGACGCGAGTGGGAGGAAGAGGACGAGGGGGGTCGCTGCTGGGAGGTGGCTGCGGGGTCCTGCCAGATCCAGGAGACTGGGGGTGGGGAGCGGTGGGTGGAGTCTGGGGTGCCTCCTCGTGGCAATACCGAAGAGCAGGCTGGATGACAGACCCGGCGGGGACACCAGGCGGGGACACGGCGCAGGGAAATGCTGTCACCCAGGGAGAACTTGCGGAGGGGAAGCGGCTCCCAATCGCAGGCTCTGGCTACGACTCGGAGGAGCTGACTGGGGTAACAGGCTAGCGTTTTACTCCCTGGGAGAAGCTGGGCTCGCGGCGCAGAGGTGGTGGGGCGGGGCCGGAACGTGGCGTGGCCAGGTCCCGGAGACGGGGCTCACGCCCAGGGCCCCTGCGTCTAGAGCCTCGGGCTCTCCGGCCCGTGCCCGGGGGCTGGGGTGGGGGAGGAGCCCTGCGCCCACCCTGGTTTTCTCGCCCTCTGGCGTGGGGCCCCGGGAGCTGGGGCCATGCAGGGTTTAGAGAGGGTCCTTCATTCAGCCCGGAGGATCCCCCTTCCCCCCGGCCTGGACTTGGGAGGAGCCAGAGGCTAGAACTGTAGCTTTTACCATGACCTGCGCAGCCCGGAAGCGAAAGATCACACAGAGGCCGCCGTGCCCTCGGCCACCGCCCCGACGACTGGGCGTCCAAAGGGCGAGCCGTCACCATGGGCTCTTTGGCCACGGAAAGGCCCGTGTTTGACCAAGTAACGAGGCAGCGCAACTTCCCAGAGCTGTGCTTCGTCCCCGGCCGCGAGCCTCTCCTCTGAGGCGCTTGTCCTTGTCCCCCGCCCTGGTCCCCTGCACCTGCCCCTGACGGTAGCCAGGCCGCGGTGTGGCCTTCTCATGCCTCTCTCGGGAGTGATTGGTCTAATTTCTTTGTGACTCGGGGCGGCCAAACGTGGGACCCTGACGCCCGAGAGAGGCACGCGTCCCCGTGGGGTGCTCTCCGTGGCCTCTCGTTAGCGCTTGGCACTCAGGCCTGCCCGCCTCTGACCCGGGCCGGGCGGGGCTGCTTGACAAAGGCCGCCGCGGGCCCGGCTGGGGCGCTGACGCCGGCAGGCGCACCGGATTTCAGTCCTCTGCAAAGTCCGTGAGGCCCGGCTTGCCTGTGCGCAGTGCAAACTGGTGCGTCATCCCCTCCTCTCTCTTTTGGGGTGAGACCCACCTTTCCAGTACCGACCCGGAGGCGAGCTAGAACATAATTGTTCCCAAACGACAAACAAACTCACGTTTAGTCACTGTTTAAAAGGAAACTAATGCTCAGTGCCAAGAACCCGAGCAGAGCCGCTAGGCCAGGCACACGGGCCAGGCCTAAAGCAGACCCGCGCCCGGGCCTGCCCCACCCCCGGCCCCGCCCCCCGCCCCGCCCCCGCGCCCCAGCCCGGCCAGCACCGGCCTCACCTGCAGGCTGCGCAGGGCCAGGCACGCTGCCTTCTGCAGCTGCACGTCCGGCGCGCTCAGGGCTTCGCAGTAATAGAGCACGGCCTGGGCAGGAGGGAGGACAGGGTGAGCACAGGCTTGGTGGCCGCTTTAGGCGTTTGTATCACTTTTACTGCCCAACACAGGCTACAGGTGAACCCAGACACTCTGCACGACCTTCAGAGCAAAGAAGTCCGTCACAATTCTTGTTTATTAAGAGATTTAAAAAAAAATTCAATACTCTGAGCCCTTATATTGTCCCAGGTCATGGACTCCGGGGAATATGAACCTGGAAGATGCAAAATTATGAGTCCAGCTTCTCAGAGGCCCCCAGGTCTAGTAGCGATGCCAGGGTGGCCTTATCTCAGAAGAAAGCTACACGGTGCTCGGTGGGTTCAGGGAGAGAGCCACTCGCCCTGGAGACCAAGGACCCACTGATGGTAACCAGGTAGGAGGCCGAGGGAAATGGGACATCGTTATTATTATTATAATATTCATAAGAGCGAGGAGTGGAAACAACCCAAGTGCCCATCTGCTGCTGAATAAAGACAATGTGGCCTCTCCCTACAAGGGACAAAGGGAACGGTGCGCGGACACCTGCCGCCACGTGGGTGAGCCTTGACGACATGCCGAGCTCAGGGCGGAGAGAGACAAAGGCCACGCACGGAGGGATTCCGTTCGCGTGGGACTCAGGGCAGGCCACGGGCAGAGGGCGGGGCAGCGGGCTGCTGTGGGGACCCGGCTTCTTTCTGGGGTGACAAGAATGCCCTGGAATTACAGGGTGACAGTTATGGAATGTGGTGGCACCCCTGTCTTTTCAGAGGGGCTGAGGGTAGCCGGCCCGCAGAGATGGCGTCGGAGCTAACTCCCCTGCAGGACCTGGGCTTGGCAGAAAGAACAACGTGAAGCCCACGCTTTGAAGCCTCGCCTGGCATCAGAAGGGACTACCCTGTCCTGAGTGCTCAGACGGCCCCCGCACCCCCGCCTAGCGATGCTGCAGGAAACGGAAACTCTTCTCCGAGTTCCACGTTTGACCCTTCCCAGCCCAAGAGGGGCCCGCGTTTACTTTTCCTGAGCTGGCCGGAAGGTCGACGTAACTTAAGTTTTCCGAGTGGCTGCCAAACCGTCTGGAGCCGCCCGAGGGCCGAGCCGCCGGCCTGCCCAGGAGCACGCGGGGAGCTCGGGCGCCTGCTGACCCGCCAGGGCGGCTGAGTTCACGCTGCGGGAGACATGCGTCGCCCCGTCCCCAGCAGCTGGAGTGACGGACTCTCAAGTTAAAATGCTCCCAGCCCTTTGACCCCTCAGTCTGACGACCTGGCCCCAAACCACTATTAGGACACACACGTAGGTTCACTGCGACGTTTTTCCGAGTTGGGAACTCCACAAACGCCCGTACGAATGGAAGGAGGAAATACAGTATGGGCTATCCAGGCGCTGGGAAGCCAGGAACCCGACAAAGAGAATGAAGACCAGTGTGCTCTGCACGGGATCAGCCTTGATTACGTGACATTTAAAAAGTCAGGGACACAACAGGACAGTGTGACCTCATTGAAGAGAAACAGTAATTACGTCTTAGCGTAGAAAACGGAGGAACCTGCGTTACTATGCACTAAATTATTAGCAGTTTTGTCTGGGGGCTGGATTTACAGACACTTAGCTATTATAATATGGTTTTTCATGGGGATGTCATGTACCACATAAGAAATACAGCGAATAATAACGTAAGCGCTGTGTACGGTGCCAGGTGGGCACTTACCGGGCGATGACTTCGCAAGTTATACAAATAGCTAAGCACTATGCTGTACACCTGAAACTAACATAAATACTGAATGCCAACCCTCATTGAAAAAATAAGTTTCAACGTCAAAAAACTGCCTTAGAGAGGAGATACTAGTAATAAGCAGAAGCAAATGATGTTATAGAAGAAAAATGGCAACACAGGCGTAGCGGGCGACGGGAAAGGGCGCCGCTGGGGACGCGCCGGCCGCGGCCCCGCCTACCTTCTCCCGGAAGTGCTCGTTGCGGGCGGCCTCGGCCAGGTGGAGCCGCACGGCCTGGCTCACGTCGCTGTGGCCCCCGGCGAGGAGCAGGGCCAGCGTCCTGAGCGCCTCCTGCTGGGCCGGGAGGCTGCGGGCGGCCAGGCCGCCGACCGCCTGGAGCAGCTTCTCGTCCCTCAGCGACGGCAGGCTCTGCACCAGCGAGACTGGAGGGGGGAGAACCGCAAGGCGCTCATTACCGCTGGGAGCACGAGGCCCGCAAGTCCGCAGGGACAGACCCGGGTGCCTGTGACGGCGGGCGTGCCCCCTGCCCCCGGGTGAGAACAGGACAGTCCCTCCCGTGGCCCGGTTAAGGCAAATGGCAGGTCATACGCGGAGAAGTGGACGTGGGTCTCCCACACAGGTGGCTACAGACTAGCTTACTGATGAGCTACATTGTCAAACGCAAGAGCGCACAGTGACGGAAAGCCACGCACACACTTGTTACAGTCTTCCCGAGACAGGGAGCTTCTCTTTGGTCACATCGCTCGGGCAAAACCCAGACCCCGAAGGACCCCACCTCTGCCTTCTCTCTGTGGGCGCTCAGCCAGCTGGGCGCCGGGGCGGTCCTGGTAGTAATTGGAGTAGGGAGACGTCTGACGGAAAACAGGACTTGGGTCCCATTTGGACAAACTCTGTCCCGCAGCCAGGAAGGGGGCGAGCCCCGACCTCGATCCCCAGGACGGGCTCCTGCAGGCCGCAGAGGCACAGGGGCAGGCGTGTGGGGCCCTTGCAGACGCGGCACTTAAGCTACCTCCCCGTTCCAGCGACAGAGCAGCAGCCCCGTCACAGCGGATGCGCGCGGGAGTATTTTTTTGTTTGTTTTCATCTCCTGTTTCTCCTGCTGTAGATGATCTTCTCACTTCACTGTTTTATAAGTACCTACCCTCGTAAAAACGCAGCTGAAACCTATGACCGACAGCAGACTAGAGGCCACCCCTCATCAATCCACTGTGGCGCGTCTCCCAAGAGCAGGCCCCACCTTGCTGGGCCAGCTGGTGCAGGTAGCTCTGCAGGTCGCTCACGCCGTGGCTGGTGAAGTAGCTGTGGTACTGGAACACAGTGATGACCTCTGAGGACAGGCTGGAGGGCAGCAGGGGCTCCGCCCGGTCCAGGATCTGGGACACCAGCGTCCGGAACACTGTTCAGAAGAAGCAGCGAAGTGGCTTTTAAGAAACACGACCATGTGTTTGTTCGTTCATGCGTTCTTTCATTTTCTTGCTGTGGAATAGGACAGAGGGACGTACGCACGTGGCCTAACCCTCAGGGTGCAGCCGACGACCTGTGCGTCCTTACACACCTGCGTGACGGCACTGCGCTGGGGATCCAGGTCTCAGCTGGGCCCCGCGGGTGCCCTGTGCCCCTTCCCACCCACAGGTCAGCCTGGCCTGTTCCCGGCCCCCGTTTCGATGAAATTACACAGCAAACGCTTCGGGGTCTGACTCACTCCACTCGTCAGAGTGTCTGCGAGATTCATGCAACGCGGAGCCTGCGCCAGTAACTTATTCCTCTGCAGCCGCGCCACGCGACGCCCCAGAGCGCGAATGTGCTAGTTTATCCGTTCCCTCATCGGTGGGCGCGGGAGCTGTTTCCTGTCTGGCTTGTCTACGAAGCTGCTACAGACTCTGAGGCATGTCCCTGCTTGGCGGGCCCACGCGTGCACTTCTCTCGAGTACTGAGGAGCGGGATAGCTGGATGTGGGGCGCGGGGACGGGGGGCTTTATTTAGCGATGCCCAGGGACAGTCCCGTGTTGGTGATGTGCCCACAGAGCAACACAGAACTACAGTGCTTTTCCAAGTCTCTGCTGGAGTCCGAATTGGAGCGAGTCTGGTCTTTTTCTTGGATCCCACTGAGCGGACGGTGCTTTCTGGGGCAGGGAAGCCCTGGGTCAGGGCCGGCTGCCGGGGGGAGGGACGGGGACCTGGGACCAAGCGCTGTCCTCCCTCGCGCTGGCTCACCTGGATCTGCGAGTCCGGGGTGCTCCCTGTTGACGGCCGTGGCGAAGCTGGCCTCCAGCTGCCGGACCACCCTGGCGGCCGAGCTGTGGTACGCGCCTGCCGGGCCGCAGCACTGGGTCCAGAACGAGAGCAGCGACGGCTTTTTGTGGAGCTCGGGGACGGCTGGGGAAGAGGGCGAGCCGGTGAGGCAGGTGGAGGGGCCTGTGTCGGGGCGGGGAGGCCTTGCTGCGGGCCTTTTGTTTTGTTTTGTTTTTAATTTTTAGAGAGAGGGGAAGGGAGGAAGGGAGAGGGAGGGAGACATCCCTGTGTGGCTGCCTCTCGCACGCCCCCTCCTGGGCACCTGGCCTGCAACCTAGGCCTGCGCCCCGACTGGGAATCAATCCAGCGACACTCTGGTTCGTAGGCGGGCGCTAAATCCACTGAGCCACACCAGCCGGGGCTGGGTTTCATTTTTGTATTTTTTTTAAAGACTGGTGGTCAGCAGCAGCAGGTGGCCCAAAGGACACAGAAATCGCAGGAGGAGCTCGCGCAGCTTGGGTGGCAAGCCAAGCTGTTGGCCTTCTGTGACAGAGGCCCCTCCTCTCGTGTGCTGTGACGCCACAGTGCACACACGCACGGGACAGAGCACCGACCCGCCCCTTTTCGTGACACCTGCCGACGTCCTCTTGCTCTGGCAGGTCGGATGCAGGAGACAGAGGGCACAGGGAGACCCCCAACCCACCCCGGCTCCCCCAGAGAGGACCTGCGTGGCAGGTCCCCGCTCTGCTGTTCCTGCCGCACAGCCAACGTGAGGGCCACGTGGATTCTCATTGTTACCAAAGGGCCCTGTCACCAGGCCACACAAGTTCAAAGGCATCTTCCTGGGACAGGTTTCAACCTAAAACTTGCTGACCCAGGGACCCTCACAAAGGCCACGGGACCCGTTGGGTTGGGGAGCATCTTGCATTTGACCCTCGGCCACCGTGGGAGTTGCCTTAGGCAGCTCTGTGGCGTGAGGACAGCCCCGGTCCTGTGTCCCCAAACGGAACTGCACGGGCAGACGTGACACTTCCTGGAGGTGGCTCTGGTTCTGGTTGTCCACTCATGTCTGTCCGCCGGGTGTGGGGACCCCCGGGGGACAAGGGGTGGGTGTGGTTTGACCCGAAAGCTGAAGCAGGTGCTAAGCAGGCGCTAACGCGGCCACACGGCTGTGGGGACAGGCCCTGGCGCCCCTGCTCTCCGAACGCTTCTCTGCTACTTGTCGTGACCGAGCAGTGAGCAGGCACAGTGGCGGCGGGGCTGGTGGGTCCCCGCAGACGCGGGCGGCGGTGGCCTCGCCGGGACTCACCTTCCACGACAGAATCGATGTGCCCTATGTTCTCGTCGCTGACGGCTGCAAGCTTCTCCATCACTTGGATCTGCCTAGAAAGCTTCTCTAAGAGATTTTTCGCCACAAAGGGGGTTTTGCTGGAGAAAACGATTTGCTGAGAAAACAAACGAAAGCACTATCTCCGTCACGAGGTCTGCAGCGCCCGCCCGCCCGCCCGCCCGCCCTTCTCCCTCCTGCCCCCGCTTCCCCTGCAATAATGCTCCCCGTTCCTGATGAACTCAGACAGCTTCTGCTGCTTTAAGTTTTGGGTTTTTTTTTTAATGCCTATATATAAATTCTGGAATTTTCAGCAGTGTGGCTGCCAGGCCACGGTAGACCCGCAAACCCTCTTAAACGTGGAGGGCACGTTTAGGTTGCCTATCCATGTGTAAGACAAAAAAGATTTACTTCACACATGTCGTTTTTGACAGCCTGGGCCTATTTCCTTGTTTTCAAGCCGAAAGCTAAGTGCACACTGTGTTACCAGTCAGGACCGCGATCGACCTCTCTCGCTGTAACCGCGAGAGCTCACGGACGAGGTGCCGGTCAGAGCCCTGGGCCTGTGCAAGTTCACGCGCTCCCTCCCAGCGACCCCACGACCCCATGTTACAGCTGAGAAACTGCGGCACAGCGACCAAGGCCCCCTACGCAGTAAGTGGCCCCCTCACACGCAGGTCAGGAGGGGAGGAAGGGCCCGAGGAAGGCAGCACGGGGCCCCCTCTGCGCCCCGCGCCCCTCGCGGGCAGGGCTGCCGCGCACACACCTGGGCCACTGTCCTGTCCTGCCTGAGGCGTCTGGACTCGAAAACAAACAGGACTTTGCAACCCACTGAGCCACACCGGTCAGGGCTGAACTGCTGCCCTTTATGCATAAGTGCGGGCGTTACGGTCCTTACGCGGTGCCCGTTTCCATCTCTCTGCGACTGTGCCGAGTGAACACACGACCTCCCTGATCCGGCACGGGCGTGACTTCAAGGTTAAGGCTTTAACGCTCCCTCCTCCACTCCTCTTTATAGGGTCTTTCTGTTTTTCCAGTGTGGACCTGGCCGCGGAGAGGGGAGTTGCCAGCACTGTGGCCGAATCGCGGGAGACGCACCGCCCGAGCGCTGCACGCCCAGCAGTCTGGGGGGGACCGTCACCCCGTCACAGGAGGGGGCGGCTCCGGCCCACAGAAGAGCGCCTTCCCGCAAAAGGCGAGCGGGTGGCTCCCTCAGCACAGGCTCAGGCTCAGCGGGGACAGTGACCAGGAGCTGTGAGAACCGTCTCGTCCAAAGGGCCACAAGTAAAGAGCAATCCATACCCATCTGGGCCGGAAAAAAGAACTGCGCCTTCGCCAGGCTGGTTCAGGATCGTGACTTGTGAACCCAACAGTCAACGGATGAGATCAACGGGGGGCGGGGGGGGCCACCAAGGGGCGAGAGTGTAACTGGAGACCAGCCCCCCCGCGCACGGCAGCCGTCGGGGGCCACGTCAGGGACGGGAAGTGAATTCTCCGTCCCGTCGCAAGTGCATGACGAAGCAGCAGCTCCGCTCACCGCGGGCCGCCCGGACGCCCCTCCTCACCCCACCCCTCGTCTTCCTGTCGGTCCGGGCTCCTGCTCCGCCTGCACCCTCTGGACGGGCCCGCACCCTGACACCATCATCGGTTTGCCTGCACACTCTGTTCCTTTCCCCTCGCGTCCCACGCGCTGCGGGGAGAGCAGGTGCGGATGGGGGAAGACGGAAGCCCAGCCGCCAGGCGAGGAGGAAGGATGGAGCCAGAGCCTGTGGGCGGGGGCGGGAACACTTCCTGCCACGGGAGGATTTCAAAATGTGGGCTGCACTGTTGCAAAATTGCAAGCGGTAAACAGCTTGATACGAAAGGAAAATAAGCTCCATGGTGTCCCAGACCACGGCGAACGGGGAGGCTGAGGGCCTGTACAGCGTGTGTCCCGTTGCTGATCAGCACTTATCCAAGTGGGGGGACCGCTGTTCTGTGGCTTTTAGCCCCCGGGCGGTGGGAAGCTCACGGGAGGCCTTCACGGAAGCGTGTGTGCAGCAAGGCCGGCTTCCAGACGCCATTTGTAGGGGGCAGAAAGCAAATTCCTTTCTTTGCTTAATCACACTATTCCCATCTGTTATCAGATGGTTCTGGAGTGAGCGGACCACGTTGTTCCCACTGGCGCGTGACGTCTGGGAGCTGGGTTTTAAGACGGGAAACCCAGGGTCGCAGGACGGGCACACCCGCCAGAGTTCAAAAAAAAAAGTTTTTTTAAAAAAAACCCTCCCTGAGGATATGTTTCCATTAATTTTAAAGAGAGAAAGAGAGAGAAAGAGAGAGATCAATGTGAGAGAAAAAATCTATCGGTCGCCTCCTCTATGCGCCCTGACTGGGGCTCGAACCCACAGCCCAGGTGTGTGCCCTGACCGGGAACTGAACCGCAACCTTTTGGTGCCCAGGACGACGCTCTGACCAGCGGAACCACCCGTGGTTGCTGGGCTCCCGCTTCCCTGGCAGGGCTCGAGGGAGCAGCACGCCCCGCGCCCAACGCCGCAGACGCCGGCGGCAGCCGTACCTGCACGAGCTGGGTGCAGTGCTGCAGGTGCCGCACGATGGCGATGTCCAGGCTCTCGTTGCCCGAGGTCAGCGGGAGGGGGCTGCCGGCCACGCTTGTCCCGACGCCCGTGTCCTCGGTCAGCGCCTCGCTCACGTGCACCCTGGCCTCCGGGTGCGCCGGCCTGTAACTGTGGGGCGGGAGGGGGCGACACACGGGCCCCAGTCAGCTCGCCACGGCCGCCCAAGGTCCCCGCAGCCGCCACCGGCCTTGCAGGAGCGACGTCCGCACTCAGCCCGGGCGCCGGCCTGCCCACTGTGAGAACAGGTCACACACACCAGCTGCGCCCGGAGTTCTCTGTGACCTCCAACCCGCCTCGCACGCACGGAGCGACCGTGCCCGCAGAGCCAGTTGCATAGCGTCTCCGTCACGAGGCTCTGAAACCCGCCTCATCAGCCACGCTCCCTTCTGTTCTACGGCAACGTGTGCGGGCGAGCCTGGCCTCGGCAGGCACGGATGAGCTCAGGGCCCTGCGGGAACGCCCGGCCGCAGGGACGGGCAGGGAGGGCGGGGCAGCCCCGCGCAGCTCGGGGACCACAGACCGCAGACGGAGGCCCAGCGACACCCACCTGCTTTTCTCGGTCTCTGTGTCTGAGAACACGGAGTCGGCGCCTCCTCCAGCCGGGCCCCCCTCGTCAGCATCCTCCTCGTCCTCGTCGAAGTCGGACGTGTTCAGGAAGTCGAAGCTCTCTAGCGCGCTCTCCACCGTCAGACTCAGGCTGGACGGCGAGCTGCGGCTCCCGGAGGGCTTGCACTGCGGAGGCAGGGCACCGGCGCCGTCAGCACCCCCGGGGGGACGCCGTCAGCCCCGCGCCCCCGGACGGGGGGGAAGAAACATGGCGCTCGCTCCACCCGACAGGTCTTTGTTTTAAGCTTTTGTTTTATTTTATTTCATTGGCATTAAAAAACCCATTTACAATCCTCCTATTAAAAAAAGGACAACCAGGGATCAAATGACACAATAACTGGGATTTGTTCCAAAGCAGCAGCGCCAAGGGGAGTGAGCAGGGAGAACAGACGATGATGTTGGCCACGGGTCGGGCACGGCGGCAGCCGGGGTGGGGGCGGGAGGTGGAGCAGGAGCCTGTCACATGTTCGTGTGACTTCTGTTTGAAATTTTTATAATAAAAACTTAAAAAAATAGAACATATATGACAACCAAACAGCCCTGGGAAGCGGGGCTGCCATGTCTCTCTGCCGAGAGCTCAGCCCCGCGTGAAGCACAACCAAACACACGCGGAGAAGGTGGCGGGCGCAGCGAGGGCCGCGGGCCAGTCTCTCCTTCCGCGCGGCCACGCCCGGCTCGGCAGGACCCGCACGACGGCTCCAGAGCAGAGGCAGCTGCACTCGCTCGCCCACGCTCCCCGGGGGCGCGGCCCTGCACACTCATTTACAGTCACAGCGTCTAACTGTCCTCGCGCGCGGAGAAGACATGGAAGGCCGGGCGCCAGGAGAGGCAGCCTGGCCTGTGAGGAAGCGTGTCCCGTCACCTCCGTGACCGGGCCAGGGACCACGGGGACAGGCTGGCGGCCTGGAGGCCCCTGCGGTGCTGGACAGACTCACACATCACAGACAGAATAAGGCCCGCGGCCGCGGGCACGGAGGCGGACAGACGCTCTTCCCAGTGCAGAGGGGGGTGCCGGGGCGGGGTGGAGGGGCAAGTCCTGTGAGTGGGAAGAACTAAGAGTCCTCCGTGCAGGCAGGTGGCGCTCCTTGCCGACGTCTGAGTGCCAGGCAGGCCCCGCCGGGCCCTGCGCATGACACCCCAGGGCCACAGAGCGGACCGGCTGTGCCACCAGAGCTGCTCACTGGCCCTCAGCGATCTCCGTCCGAGAGGCGGCAGCGTCTACTTGCTCATCCTCAAGGTGGTGAGCTTCCTAGGAACGTGAAGGGGAAAAGAGAAAGCTCCGTCCAGCCGCTGGTTTAACTCTGGCTGGAGACAGAGCACCTGCCTCGGGCCGCAACGCGAGGCCCGTCCCGCCTCGGGCGCGGCGGGCGGGGGGGGGGGGGCGCCGCTCCCCACTTCCGCGGTCCTCTCTCCTGCACCTGTTACCAGCAGCACCCAGCCGTGCACAATGTGAATGGGTTTAAACAGTGACCGCCACAAAGAAGGGGCCGTGAAGGGTTCCAGCAGCAGGGCGGTTTGGGAAGGACAGCAGGGTGAAACAACACTCGAGAGAGATCCGTCACCGCCGGGTGTTTCTAACACGAACAGGGGGCTCGCGCCCTGTTTGCTGGTGGCCTGGCCGCCGCCGCTCTGTGAGGCGCCGGCTTTAGGTGCGGCTGGTGCGTCCTAGCTTTCGGCATCGGGCACGGCGGCCCCCTGAGCAAAGCAGGTAGCGGCGCAGACAGGAGCAGCGGCGATGACAGAGTGCTCTCCCCGGGATTCTGAACAAGTGGCCTCCGAGCGCAAGTCCTGAGCGGCGGCGGCCTTGGCTGGGTTTCACAGAGCGCCGAGTCCGTGCGCCCTTCCCTGCCTCGCGGAGGCTGTGCCGGCAGAGGATCCGTCCGTCACGAGCACACGGAGCCCTGGGCAGGCAGGGCAGGGTTGTCGCCGGCCCCGGGCACGGCTCCCTTCCAGAGCCAGGCCCGCGGGACCAAGGAAATGCCCTCCCGGAGCATCGGGGACGCTGCATCTGAGGACCGCCACACACGGGGTACAGCGGCGCCCCGCGGCCGGCTCCCCGCAGGCCCCAGGCCCTTCACTTGGAAGCCAATCTAGCTTCCAGAAGAGGTCCTCAAACAACGGCTCTTTCAGGGAAAAGGATCCCAGGTCTCCTCTAAGGGGACATTAATCCGAGCGAACAGGAGGACACAAGAAGTGGGGTTCAGGACCGCAATTCACGCGCCCTCTTCCTGGGCGGTGTTATTTAAAACTGGGTGTGGGGAAGGGGTAGGCAGGGATGCCCGGGGCCGCCCATCAGGGCTGCCCGCTCTGACTTCAACCCGGGCGCGCGTTTCCGGCGTCACCTCTCAGCGAGGTCACCCAGGTGCCACCAGCGCACATTTGGGATGAACAACTCTGGGACTGAAGAGGTTTACACACGGAGGATGTCCAACCTTTTGGTGTCCCTGGGCCACACATTAACTACAACGCGACACGGAATCACACACACAGACACACACACACACACCCCTCATCACGCTTCACGGAAATTTACGATTTTGTGTCGGGCCGCATTCGCAGCCTTCCCAGGCCGCGTGTGGCCACGGGGGCGCAGGTCGGGCACCCCTGCTCTGGAGCACTTAATCTAACTACCAGTCACGTTCACTAAGTTCATCTGTCGTCAGGAAAATAAAAAGTGGTATTTGCTACCTGTGATGAAAATCGATGTCATTTAAATGGCGATTATATGTATAAACGCTGCGATGGGACGGGGGAAAAATAAAGATGCTGCTTTAAACAGGGGGTTGGCCTGCGAGGCCTCTCTCCCTGCCAGGCCCAGCCCGACCCCCCTGGAAAGGCACTTACTTTCAGGATGTCATCCAGGTGCATGACTTCTTGGTTCAGGTCCTGGAACTCCTTGTACCGCTCCTTGTGCGGCTCCAGGGCGAGGAAAAGCCCGTGGAACGCGTCCTCCAGGCTCCCGTCGAGGAAGGAGCGGCAGCCGTCCGACTCCCCGCTGACCGAGCCCTCGAACAGCAGCTTCTCCGCGGCCACCGCCGGCACCTCGGCCGAGGTGAGCCGCTTCACCAGCTGCTTCGTGATGTTGCCTTCGAACGTGTCCAGCTCCACGGGCTTCAGCTCCGAGGCCTCGTCCGACTCCTGCAGGAGCGCCTCGGCCACGCCCCTCTCCAGGAACAGGCGCTCGGGCACGGCGCCGGCGGGCGCGCGCACGGCCTCCGCGCTCCGCGGCCCCTCGGCGCCCTCCTCCTCCTGCTCCTGCTCCTCCTCCGGCGGGGCCCGGGGCCCTGGGCCGCTCCCCGAGGAGCCGCTGGAGGAGGCGGAGCCCGAGTCGTCGGTGCCCTCGCTCTCGGAGGCCAGGCTGCCGGGCTGCCGCTCGGCGGGGGTGATGGTGATTTCGGGGTTGGCGGAGCCCGTGCCGGCGGGGCGCGCGCAGTCCCCGTTGGGCAGGTCGCTGAAGCTGAGAGACAGGGGCGTTTTCTGCGGGGCGGCCTTTCCGTTCTCCAAGGTGTCGTCGGGCAGATTCGACTGCGGACGAAAGGCATCGCGTTATTATTTCAAACACGGGCGTGGTATTGGCCGTGGTGGGTTTCCAGGTAAAATACAGATCCAATAAAATAAAAACCCAGAACTTGCACCATAGCAGCATGTCGTTTGTTGGGTTTGTGTGTGTGCATCTGGCTGAAGAAAACAAGCCTTTGCAAGCTCTAGTGCCACGCTGAATAGGTAAAAGTTCATTGACATATTCTTAGCATTCACGTTTTTTTTTCCCAAAGAAAGCGCTGCTGCCTGGAAAGGAACTTGTTCCTACACCCAGGATCTCACACTATTTGGCAGCCACAGTTATGAGTCACACCACCAATTATCATTATTATTTTTTGGCATCTAGCTTAAAAGACTCCAACATTCATGCTATTTCACTGAAAAGACGCGATGCTTTGTTCTGCTTTGGTCTTTGTAAATTATTGTCTGAGAATCTCTACCCACAAGTCCCACACTCTTGGGATGGTGTATGAATTTGGTAACCACATCACAGATGATTCAAGGCCAGAGATACACTGGCATCGCGTCTTCGAGAGAAAGAGAGGCCGACACATCGAGCCTCTGTGTTCCAGGCCTGCGGACCCCGCGGCGCCGGCGTCTGGGCGCCCGAGGTCTCAGTCCCGCCGCCCGAGGCGGGTCGGGCGGCTGCGGCTCGGGGCAGGACTGGAAGGCAGAGGTCGGGAATATCCAGGTAGCCAAGAAGGTTCCATCGCACCGTTTCCAGGTCAGCGTCCATACCCTGCGCCTGGGCGGTGTCCAGGCGCCCAGTGTGCTCTGGGGGCCGTTCTCTGGTCTCTGAGGCCGGTCCTTGGACGTGGATGACCGCTCTCGGATTCCAGATTTGATTTTTTAGGTAAATATGTCCTCTTATTACTAATAAAGCAACGAAGAACTATCACAACAGTGCTGGGGGTGACAAAATGCTAGATCAAGGGGAACGGGGGTGTGTGTGTGTGTGTGTGACAGAGAGAGAGAGAGAGACAGACAGACAGACAGACAGACAGCCCCATTGTCCTCCTGCAGCGAGGCTGGGGCCAGCAGCCCCGGACCCCTGTGGCCAGGTCTCCGCAGCCTCTTCTGGCTGGGAGGCGACTTGAACTGGAAGATCCCGGGGGGCTCGCGCGGAGCCTCCGCAGGCAGCGAAGCTGCCGCTCACGCTGAGTTGCCGCCTCTACTGCTGATTAGTGAACGGGCTCCCCAGAGTTGGGGGTGGGCATGGCGGGGCGCGGAGGCCCGGGAGCTGCAGAGGAGGCTCCTCGCTGCACCCAGCCTGTTTCCTCCCGGCTCTGCCTGCACTGTGGGTGCAGGACAGCGCGCGCGTGTGTGTGGGGGGCTGTGTGTCAGCGCGGGTGCTCGGTGATGGGGTGCCCAGCCAGCGCGCTGCCTCCTGCACCCAGCCTGGGGGGCGCACGAGAGGTGATGGGGGGGCGCATCCCAGAAGGACCTGTGTGTGAGCGTGTGTGAGCGTGTGCGGGGGTGCGGGGGTGTGCGGGGGCGCGGGTGCCTTCTCCGGTGACACAGGGCACACCACGCAGAATGCACGTTACTGATCGCATTCCCAACTGTGAATTAAAGAGTCTCTTCTATTAAGTTGGTCTTGTACAAGCACTCCAATAAGTCTTCACAGTCTTGTGAACCTTTTTAAATAAAAATCACCCTAGTAAAATGGATTTAAATCCTCCAAGTTCCTCAGACGCTGGTTTTTCGATGAGAAAACCGTGTGTAAAGACTGGGAGTGGTGGAGGACTAGTTCGCCTTTGGGACAGAAAACTTTCTCTGGCCTCAGGCATAATGGTGTTTTTTTTGAAAACAAAAACCTTGTTACCATGGATATCTTTGCCACAGCAGAGACACATCGTAGCGCAAAAGCAGGGGCCGTGAGGAGAGAGACAAACCGCCTCTCCACCCGCGGCGCATGCGGGACCGAGGGCCCCGGCGGGGGGACGGGCCAGCGGCCACCGACACCCCTGAGCAAGACAGAAAGGAGGACAAAGCAGGAGACACACAGCCAGCCCCGAGCCACGCCACGCGGTGGTTCCCGCACTCACGTAGGACTCTAGCGCAGCCTTGGGCCTCAGTCTGAGGGAGGGCAGCTCACAGACAGAGCGGCTGCGGCGCAGCTTGGCAAAGACAGTGTCTTGCAAGGCACTCAAGACAGACAGCCGGGGCCCGCCCGGGGAAGGGCGCAGCCATCTCTTCCAGAGCCAGGGCGAGGCGGCAGGGGCGGGGAAAGCACCAGGGTACCGGGTTAGCTTTCAGCAAGCGTTTCCCGTGAGAACACCCCCTTCTTTAAAACGCTCATCTCAGAGAAGGTTCAGGGAAGGCTACATGTTGTTACCGATGCACCAGGTAGGGCGGGGGCGGGGCAGGGAAGACAGAGAGGCTCGCAGCTGTGTGCGGGCCAGAGTCATGACCCCGGGGGCTCCTGAGAAGCCCTGCCGCCCCACGCCAAGCGCGCCTCCTCTGCAGAAATGCACTTACGAAGAAGGCGTGGTCTTTGAAGGTGGGCGTTTCCGGGGTCCCCTGGCTGTAGATGGACATCCTCCTCTGCAGGGCGGCTGCTTTGCTCCCCGCGCCCGAGGACGGGGTCACGTCTTCCACGTCGAACGGACTGGAAGACAACAGGTCCCCGTGAGGGCAGGTTGTCACGTCACCGGCCCGTAGGCCAGGAAACGCCTCATTTTACTCATGTAACTTCTAACCCGTGGGAACCCGGCTGGTTTTGGCCCCGCTGGTTTGTCAGATATAAGCGAAGATGAAAGAAAGTGGAGCAGAAAATCGAGTCTCAGGTCCACCCAAAGGCCCACTTAGTATCATCGCGACTCTAAATACAGCTTCCATATGTGCCCACGGCTTAACCTGTGCACTCTTTCTCATTACTATTAAAACATAAACATATCAATACTCGCCCCAACACAAATGCTAAAACAATCAGTAACAATGCCTTGAGCTTTGTAGAGACAGATACTTGAAAAACACAGAGATTATTGACAATAGATCATTGTTCAGTTTTAGAGAAAACACTCAGAGACAGAGTGCCGTGCGTTTCACGTGATGCACGCCTCTTGCGCGACCAAGAGAATAACTGTCCACAGCAGGGCCTGTCCACATGTCACGGGTCCCCCAGCCAGGGAAGGAGCTTGCGCCTGAGACGCCCACAACGCCAAGGTAAGGGGACGGGCCGGCGACAGGTGCGGAATCAGGTGCCTCCACGCCCCGACCTCTGTGTCGTCAAGGGGACCCTGAACCTCGCACTCCGCACGTCGCCCTGACGTGGTAACACACCCGGGCGCAGTGTCACGCGAGAACGGCCTGTGTGGAATAACACATCGGGACCTTTCCCACGGGGCAACGTCAGAAAACCACTTCCCAGCTCATCGATTGGACAAAAGGTATCTCCTGTCCTCTGGAAAAATTCAGTCTCCGGAAATAGAGTCTGGAGGGATTAGGAGACTAAGCATTTCCCAGGGCAGCGAAAGGCGCAGGGGACAGAGGCAGGTAAGCGAGTGAGGCACTGCAGCAAGACTCGGGGTCTTCCCGAGGGCAAATAGGGCAGACGGGGCAGTTTTCTTCCGAGTGCGTTTGCTGGAGGGAACTATTTCCTGTGCACGTTTAAAGGAAGGACAGGAGACAGAACGGTTACAAATGGGGCGCCGGCGAGGACAGGAGCGGTGACGCAGAGGCCTCCCCGAGGGCGGGCCGGCGAGAGGCCGTCCGGGGAGGCAGGGCGGGGCCCGGGCGCCGGCTGCGGAACCGGAACCGGCTGCGCCAGGCCCGGCGCCGCCCGCGCCCGGCGCCGGGCCTGCCGCGCACGTCGCCGCGCGGGGAGCTCCAGAGCCACTTACTACCAGGAGATTTCCAGGTTCAGCTTGATGGTGCCCAGGTCGTTGATGTCAACGGCCACCGCCTGCGGTTCGGCTGCAAACAGCTCTTTGGTCTCGCAGGTCACGCTGCCCACCAGGAGGTGGGTCGCCAGCCCTTTGACCTCTGTGACCTAGAGAGAGAGCGAGGGCAAGGCTTTGGGGGACGGCGGAGGTGGCAGCGGGACACGGGTCAGAGCCGACGCGGGCGGTGGTGTCCCCAGCCCAGCCTGCACGGCTGCCGCCCCGTGCAGAGTGGCCGCCTCGCCACGGGCCGCGGGACCCACCGCGGCCACTGCCCGGTGCCGGGGACGCCGGCCGGCGGGGACACTGTACCTTGATGGAGATGAGCCCAGTGATCAGGGGCAGGAACACCATCTCCTCGCGGTCCCAGCTCTGCCTGCCGTTGACTTCGATTTTGCCTTTCAGCTTCCACCGCTGTCGGCCGTACTTCATGAAAATCTGGGGGGACACCACACGGCAGGCGCCCCGCTGCCCTCACCTGCCTTCCGGCCAAGGAACGCCGCCCGAGGGCAGGTGCGCGAGGCGGCCGCCGCCTCCGCCTTCCCCGCCGTCCACGGCTCCTGGAGCCCCGGTGAGCGGGAGGGCGCTCCGGAGCGGGGGCTCTGGCTCGGAGGCCGCGGGGGGAGCCCTTCCTCCAGTCAACCCGCCGCCGAACCCCAACCCTAACCCTCTGCGGCTCACACCGCCCCCGTTCTCTCTCTGGTCGGTCCTGCTTCAGCGGGACAGCGCGGGACAGAGGCCCCCGCCCCCGGCTCCTTTACAGAGACGAGAGGCCATCAGCTAAACTCTACTTCGCGGTCAGAGCAAGAAATAAAACGTCCGCTCTCTGGACAGGGGCTTTGAAACCTGACACCGTCCGGGGGGAGGGTCAGGCAGCTTTACTGCTTAGGGGACCCCCCTCAAGAAGTAGGGTTACAGGGGGTTTATAGGTAGAAAAAATGGTGTAAGTTCCCTTTGGAAGGGGGACAAGATAAAAAGCTTTTTTACTTTACAAGTATATCTATTTTAAATTTGTTTTTAATTACAGCGGACACAGAGTTCTATATTAGTTTCAGGTATGCGACACAGTGACTCCGCATCTATATGCCTTAATACGAAATGTATTTTTATAAAGAAAGATCTAGATGCTATTATTCTTCAATCATGACACTCAGGAGCAGTCCCGGGTTGGATTCTGGATCAGGAAAAGAAAACCACTATAAAGTACAACGGGGGGGACACTTGGGGACCTCTGAATGCAGAGCGTGTGTCCAAGGGCGTTCGCAAGGGCCCGACGCCAAGCGAGCTGGCGCTGAGAGCTGGGTGGAGCTTGTCTGGGAGGGTGTCCTCACGCTGGTCAACGAGAAAGGGGCCCAGGGTTAGCCCCACCCCGCCAGGGACACCTGTGCCCGCTGGCTCGGTGGCCAAGCGATCTGGTCAGGAATCCCGGCCTGGGCGGCTCCTGGCGGCTGCGGTCACAGTCGTGTCCCAGGCGTGGGCTTCCTCAGCAAAGGCCCGCCCTCACGTGAGGGAGCCCCCCCCCCCCATTCTTAACGTCTGGGGCAGCAGGCCTTTGAAACGCCAGGGAGTGCTTTTCTTTGCTAGAGCCTCTCAGGGCACATGCTCAGGCCCCCGGGAAGAGGGCAGAGAGCCCCTCGCTGCTACCTGGTCGCCCGGGACCGTCTCTACGGGCTGTGACCGCCCACTCTGAACTACCGCGGACCCCCCGGGGGAGAGGAGCTTCTGCTTCTCCACTTGGCTCTTTACCCGGGCCTGGGGGTTTCCCGCTTCGCCGCCTCCCGCCCCTTCATCTACCACCCCTGGGTCCCCTGCCGACTCCTTCTGTCTCCTGGATGCTACTGTGTAAAACAAGCTGCAAACACCGGCACCTTTAGCTCCTTCCCTTGAGATCTTGCCTCTGGGCAAGTCTTCAAAATTCTGGCTCAGGAAACTCCTCTAAAACTTTTCTCTGTGTTCGAACGTTCTCGCATTGACACATTCTTAGAAGAATCAAGGGAGGAAGGGTCATGGTGTGCGCACCTCGCTCGAGAATGGCTCAGCAAAACGACAACAACAGTAACAAGAATGACACAGCCCACATGGTATGGGGTTAAAACTCGGCGTGTCTCGATGCGAGTGACCTGGGGGGTCCTGCATCGCTCCCCAAACTTTCCAGTCGGCTTCACCCCCCACAAGATAACAGATGTGAAAGAGGAAGATTTAAGAAGCAGAGTGATGACCCCTGACCCCTCTCCCCCGAGCCCCGCCTCCCGACACCTGGCCCTGGCCGGGCACTTACCTCGTACTGGTCTCCGGGACAGAGGCGCGCGAAGCCGGCCAGACCTGCAGGAAGCGGGCGGGGTCTGAGCTGCGGCTTCCCTCTTTCCGCCCCCCGCCGGACGTCGAGGCCACTCAGGCCAGGCGTCCGACTTTTGTGAACTCCCGCGGCGATAGCTGGGACCATGTGTGGGAAGAGCTGTGAGGGGGTGAGGGGGGCTTTCTGGGCGGAGAAGGCTGCACAGTGGGGGCTACAGCTCCACGTCCCTTTGCACCAGCATAAGGTCCAGGCAGATTCCAGCCTCATGGAATTAGGGCCAGAAAGATACATGCACTGAACTACCCAGAATATCCTCATGTAAATACACTGCTCTCGTTGTTTCTCTTTCTGCCCTGAGATTTGCAGTTTCGGGGGAGGACCTCCCGTCTGGGCTGAGGTTCGTGGACCCCTCGCCGACCTCTCCCCAGCTCACCCCCTCCCGTGTCTTCCTTGCACCTAATAACCCCGCCCCTACGGTGTTAGGAAATCTCCAAACGCGATCCATGACCATCGACACAAAACTAGGGATGAAGAAGCCAACGCAAACTAACCAGCCACATGCCAACCACCTGTACCCCCAACAGGAAGGTGGGGCGTCTCCGCTCCCGCGCCCCCCAGCAGGTCACCTCTCACAGGACCCGCTCAGTTTTGAGGTCCGGTGTGCCAACCTGGAGCAGCAGGAGACGCAGACCTCCTCAGACGAGACGCGCGCTGCCCCGGGGGCATCTCAGGGACCCTGACCGCTCTTCCTTTTTATAGACATTATTAGTGCTCACTGCGTGTGGGGGCTGTGCTTCGGGGTAACGTTCTGGAAATTAAAGGAGACTTGGCAGATGCCCACACACGCAGCAGAAGGCGGGTCAAGTCCACAGGAAAGACACACGCAGGAGCCGCGGGCCAAACCCGAGGTCGGTTTCTGTTTCCCCTACCAGCTGGCCCACTCTGGACAATTCGCCCAACTCCACTTTCTTCACCTTCCCGTGGGGATAGCAGTGTCCACCCAACAGCCTTGTTTGCGGGACAAGGGCGCTGGGCCCCCAGCAGGTGCTCAGTGAGTGGCAGCGGCCGGCCATACACCCAGGAGCGTGGGGACGCGGCCGCGACCGTTCATCTGAGAGGTGCCATCCATACGAACAGATACAGCCGCCGGGCACACGTGAGGGGGGCAGGGAAGGGCGGACGGCAGGCGGCGGTCCTCGCTCTTTGTGTGTCTGGAGGTTTTCTGAGAACGGGTTACTCGTGTAATCACAACACAAAGAAGCTGTCCCCTGCCACGTAGGGCAGTTCCTCGGAGGGAGGCAGCACGTGGCTAATGGGCTTTCAGCTCCGCGCCGGAGGCCCCGGGCAAGAAGACACCTGCAGGCCTGGGAGCGCGCGTGTTCATCCGCCAGGGTTTCCCGAAGGCCCCCTGTGTGCGCGCCCAGGACAGACCAGCCTGAGAGGTGTGACCCCGGAGGTCTCGGTTGCTTTTATGTTAGTGTACACGTGACTTCACCCACGAGGAGTGATGAGGGCCGTGCCACAGCGTGTTTTGCACCCCACGCACGAAGAGCCCTGCTGGGCAGCGAGGCTGGACCCACGAGCATCGCGGGATTGGCTGCTGGGGGGCCCGGGGCGGGGAGGCGGCCGCGGCACCTGCGTTGCCAGGTCGGCCGCCAGGTGGCAGCAGCTCCCCAGCGTGCGGCGGGGCCCCCACCCGAGGGTCCCCTGAGAACCGTCTCACTACCAGGCCCGGCCTTTCCAAGGCCGCTGCGCCCTCCCGTGAGAGCCGCTCCCGTGCTGGGCGTCGCTCGGACTCAGCGGTCGCCCGCGGAGCCTTCCTGCGCCGGGCCCAGGGGCGGCGGGCCCAGCAGGTCCGGATCCGCCCAACACGCGGCTCGGCCGCTCGCCCGGAGGGGGCGTGGCTCTCCAGGCCGAGGGCCGCGGTCAGCCCGGTCCGCACGGTCAGCACGCGCAGCCTGGGGCTGAGGCCGGTCTTTATCTTACTCCCTCCCCGGCCCCCTCCGCGAGCAGGGTTTCTCTTGTGGGGGGAGGGGCAAAAGGGGAAGTGTGGGCAGGTGTGGCCGGGGGACGCTGGGCTGCCAGGTCCCACCGTGTTAGGAAACATCCTCCGTTTCGGCCAGCGCGTGCGCGGGGTGGTTATTTTTTACCAGAACGAATAACAGATAAGAAAGCAGCCAACGGCCCTGTGGGGAGATTTCCGGGCAGAGTGAGAGGGCTTCTCCTTATCAGGGAGGAGCGTTTCCTGCGAGGCCGCCCAGACCGCTTGTCCGCGTGAGATTAGGGAAGTGTAAGTAGGGACGTCCACGGTGAGAAAGGACGATCAGCTTCTGCCCGGGAGACGCCCGGGACACCCCCGGGAGGAACCCCGAGTCCGGAGAAGCTACGGACGCCGGCCAGGCAGGACAGGGACTCAGGCAGAAGGGCAGGGGACCGAGGTCTCAGCCCGACAGCCCGCCCACTGCAGCGGGTGCTGCTGCCGCGCCAGGCGGCCGGGCCCCCAGCGCCGGCCTCCCACTGAGCACCAGCGTAGCAGCTCCCGGCCTGGTGGGGGGGCCCCCTTGCTCATGCCCAGCTGCCTGCGTGCCAGGCGCCCCCCGAGAGCAGCAGTTTGCTGCGCCCACTTGGCCATGTCAGGGCGGCCCTGCTGTCACCGGCTGCTGAGGGATGTCCTCGGGCCCAGGGCCCTGGGGTACAGTTTCAAGTCTGACCCCAACTTACAGGCTGACGTCTGGGGCAGGTCCCTGAGCCCCCAGAGTCCCTCGATAAAAGGGGGAGCTTATCCCGCCACGCAAACGAGGCCTGTGATGGCGTGGGCGCCAGGCGAGGGGGCCCGTGGCCGGCCTGGGGCCTCGGCGAGACGCGTGGGGTCTGCGCCGCCCGTGGAGTCTGCCTGGCTGGGGCCCGGGTGTCGGGGCAGGAGGGGAAGCGGTTCCAGCTGCACACAGTTCACGGCACTTGTTTTCCAGACTCAGCTGCTGACAGAGTCATTCTGAGCGTGTGTGTACACACAGACGCATATTTCTGGCCGGGTGGCTCATTTGGTTGGAGCGTTGTCCCGCACACCAAAAGGCTGTGGGTTCGATCCCCGGTCGGGGCGCGCACGGGAGGCGATCGATCGATGTTTCTCTCTCACGTCAATGTCTCTCTCTCTCTGTCCCTTCCTCTCTGTCTAAAATCAATAAACATACTCTAGGCTCCCGCATCCCCGACTTGCTGGGATGGGGGCAGGGCACAAGTGGCTTCGGAACCACCGGCTCAGGTGGGGACCCAAATGAAGAGAATGGACATAAAATACAGATGCTGATTCCAGGAGCAAAGTAAGTGTGGCCCTGGTCGCCGTGCTTCAGGATGGGAGCTTTCTGGGGCAAACACCGAAAAGGTACAGGAAAAAGGAAGGAGATGCCCAGGCCTCTGGGGGTGTAACACAAATAAGAGAAGATAAAATTTAAAAAGTGGCAGGTGGTTTACAGGGGACACGGGGCATAAAGGACCAGTTTGAATGACCCCAGGAAGAAGCCGGTAGAGAGATGGAGAACGGGGGACATTCTGTGGGACAGTGGTTTCCACAGCAAGTCACGGGGCGGGAAGAGCAGGGAGGAGGGTCTGCTTTCGAGGACAGGAAACCTGAGAGACTCGCCCGACCACCAGCCACGATGCCCGGTCCCCGGTGGGATCCCGGTTTGAGCAAACCAGCGGTACAGAGTGTTTCGGAGAAACCGGGGGAATTTGGCGCTGGAATGGGCCCTCCCCAGCGCGCGCGTTTTATGAGACGCGAGGTGACCCGCGTTGCGGCTCCCCGAGGCGCTGTCCCTGTTGGAGAAGCGTTTTCTTCAACCAACAGACCGATTCCCTCTCATCACAGGAAAACAGATGAAGCGAGTGGGGCAACATCTCGCTACTTATTCGATCTAAGTGATGGGCGTACGGAGGCTCCTTGTAAGGGCCCCTCGGCCTTCGTGAGCGTCTGACCGGCCGTCACAGCACCCAGTCAGGTGGGGGGGCAAGTCCAGAACGAGAAGGCTCTGGAGCCTCCGCGACGCAGGGGAGCGGTGTGGGGGCTGGGAGCCTTCGCGAGGAACAGAAAGGCGGTGCAGGCTGACGGTACCTTTCATCCGGATGGAGAACTCGCCCAGCAGACCCTCCAGCTCCGCCTCGATGGTGCACATGTTCTGCGAGGGAGAGGAGACAGGTGCCTGTTAGAGCTGGGCCCCCCTGCGGCGGCTCCGGGACGCACGGACCCCTGGCGCCGAGCACTAGCCCCAGGGCGCACGGCCTGTTCCCGGCGCCTGCCCAGCACCGCCTGTGAGGCGTGCTCAACAGAGTTTAGCCCGGGTCTGGGCGAGACTTCCAGTGTCCAGGGCACTTAGAGCACAGAACGAGTTAAGTTCTGTCATCAACGACCAAGTCCAGAATATGGGATGTTCTGTAAGAACAGGCCTGAATTCTACAAAACGGCAGTCGCGTGGGGGGAAGATCTAGATACAAGAGAGGAAAGAGATAACCCGGTGAGACGTGTTAACCTGGGGTGCGTCCTGATTTCAGAGACAAATGGGAACAGTGATAAAGGCACCCCTGCGCCCAACAGGGGAAATCTGCAAATGCGAGGGAAGTCCGCAGCGTGCCTTGGCTTTCTGTGTTGCGATAACGGGGTGTCCGTGGTTGTGCGGGGGGTACGTGTGCTACGTAGGTTACACATGGTTAGGAAATCCATGCAAAACATTTATGGGGTGAATGAAGTGTCATAACATCTGCCACTGACTGTTAAATGACTCTGCAAAAATAGAAAAAAGCGAGCTTATGAGCGAGGAAGACACAGGTGGAAGAACGCTACCAAGCGTTAAATCCAGTCTCCTGTCCATTATACTAGGATTTCCGTTTTCCTTTCCTGCACTTGAAAAGTGTTATCCTGAAGGGGCCCTTAGGTAAGAAGCCACAGTCTAGGTAAATCTGGCGACGCCCGGACATGCTCGGGTGACGCACAGAGCCATCGGGCGTCTGTCACCCAAGGGGGCCCTCGGTCCTGGGGCTGAGACGGACACCCAGCTCTGGGAATTGTCGGGCGGCGCCTCCTTGGGCAGTGACTTCACCCGGGAAACCTTACCCCTGAGCTCCCCCCACCCCCCACGGCAGCAGCGAGAAGGGCCACTTCAATAATTCAGTCATTTCGCCAGAGGCGCTGGTGTCAAGTGACACCGCGGAGCAAAGACCTGCCTGTCATGTGCTCCGGCCCAGGAGACAGTCGGGAACTGGGACAGCACTTCGGCCCCGGGGTCCCTGTCTCCCCTCCCCAGGGAGAGGAGGGGGTTTCGAGCAGGAAGCGGCTCCAGACGCCGCCTCGGGGCTGGTCCTCCCCGCTGGGCCTGCTCGGCTCCCGGAAACGCAGCTGCAGGAGGCTGTGCCCTGGGGCGTCTGGGAGTGACTTAAAACCCGGGCACTGCGGCTCCCTCAGTGGGTCGGTCGGTCATTCACCGGGACTTCGACCAGTGTTGGCGGTCCACGCGCGCATGGGCCGCCCCGGCCGCGTCGCCCGGCCAGGGAGGGGCGTGAGCTGCCCCTCAGAAGGCGCGGGGGCGGTGCCTGACAGGCGACGCCCTGGGACCGCCCAAGGCCGGTCCTCGGAGGCCAGCGAACCACTCGAGTGTCATTTTAAACAATTCCACTGTCAGCCTCAAAAGAAAAAACAACAACAAAAGAAAACAAAGACAAGAAAAAGCAAGCCAGCCAGCGAGGCCGAGAGGCGGGCCTAGCTGCGCGGAGCGGGGTGAGGTTGGGGCCGGTCGCGCCCCGCTCTGGGCAGGCGTCCGCAGGCGGGCCGGGCGTCCTACCTCCGTGTACTCTTTGTAGCTCCGGTGCACCTCCGCCAGGCTCTCCCGGGCGGCCCTGCTGGCGGGCGACGCGCCGAAGGCTTGCTTCATTTTGCTGGCCCCGTCCTGGAGGCGCCTTTGGATACAGTAGGCTTCGTAGAGCTCGTCCACCTGCCGGAGGGAGCGGGAAGCACGAGGGCGGTGAGGCCGGGGCAGGCGGGCACCGAGCCACGCGGCCGGTGGGACGTGGCTCAGGCGCCGTTCTTGGCCTGGCGCGGGGGTGTCCTTTCAGACAGAGACTTCGCCCTTTTGTTTTCGCCACAAGGATCCACTTTCTACGTCAGAACCGACTGTGCCCTGAGTCGCTTTTCCAAGCACACGTGACAGAGAAGTGAACGTGGGCGGACCCCGTGAGGCAGGTGCGGTGACCTGCACGCGCACCAAACGGGGCACCGTGCAGCCTCTCGCCGGGGGCAGGGGCGTGCGGGGGAGACCTGGGAGTGTGGTGTTTGAGAGACAGCGCCCCAGGGTGATAGCCACACATCCAGATTTGGCCGATTTTGTAAAACAGAACGTGAGGCTCGCTCCTGAAAACGACCTGGGTACACTCCCGGCTCAACCACGAAGAGAGAAAATGAAGTTATTCTCGAAATGAGGGCAAAGCACGACTGAGAAAACCTACCAAACGGAACACTTAAGAACTGTGATGTTTGCTGGATGTGAATTACTGCACCGTTTAAAAAACAAATGGAAACGAGCGTTTTCCCAGCTGCACGGCCACCCCGCAGCTCCCGCACCGTCCCACGCCCCCTACAAATGACAGCCGGTCACACCCTGCACGAGCCTGGCCACCCTACGTGCCGCTTGGGTGGGGCTCTCCGTCAGCCAAGGCCGCGGTGACACCCACGGGACACTGGGCCCCACGTGGAGACATCTTTCAGGGTTGGGGCCGAGGATGCTGCTCCGTGTCCTATGACGCAGAGGACAGCCCCGCCCCCGACACGGAATCGCCCCCAGGCGCCGCCCGCGCCAGGCAGAGGCCCTGCTGGGAAGGTTTTCCTGACCACCCGTCTCACGACAGTCCCGTGCCACCTCCCGTCCCCGCACAACCGCCACCGACCACGGCGGGGGTTGCGTCCGCAGGTGAACGGCGTCGGCAGAAGCGAGGGACGCCGTGAGTCCGGGCGGGGCGGGGGGCGTCACCTACGGAGGACGGCGGGGGGTCTCATTTCAGCACAAGCTTTGCTCCCGAGGAAGGGGCTGGCGCGGGGGCGCCCAGAGCGGGCGGGGGCGGGCGGGGGGTGTGTGGGGAGGCTCGCGGACTTCGGAGGCCGAGGAGCCCTGTCCGCCCTGAAGGCACATTGGTGGCTGCTCGCGGGTGAGCGTCCCAGGCACCGCGAGCCGGTGACTCCTGGCCCCTTCCCCCTCCGCCCAGAGGGCGCACTTTGTGCTCTTTCGCTCAGTGATTCCCTCCACTTTTCTAAGAGGAACTGCCCGTCTGGGGCAAGAACGGAGCGGCCTTTCATCTTTGGGGCCGATGGGTTTGTCTCTGGTGAAGCGGGGGGTCCCGACCGCAAGGGGGGGGCCTGTCCGCTGATGACAGCTTTAGGGTGGGGGCTGGCCGCGAGGGTGGTCGCCATAATTTGAAACGCAGCCAAGACCGGCCCGGCCAGCTCGCTGAACGCGATGTCCAGGCCCCGCTCTGAGATACGGACCCCGGAGGCGAGGGCGGGGCCGGGGTCCAAAATGCTCCGCGACCGTGGCAGGGCGCTCGCGCGCGGAGGGGCCCCATGCTGCCTCTCGGAAGGCGGGAGCCGGGCCTCCCTCATGGCCCGCCAGGCGGCCGCCCCTGCGGTCCCGGGGGACGCCCCACGGCCCTGTCCCACCGGCGTCTGTACCGCTGTGGCCGTCTCAGTAAGGAGCCCGGCCTCGGCCCGGACGGCTCAGCCTGTCACGTCGCATTGAAAGAGAAGTTCTTTCTTTGCTTTCGTTAAATGTCAACCTGTCTCAGCCAGATAGAGTTACGCTCGAGGGTAAAGGGGAACTCTGCGTGCACCTGAGCGTCGTGGGCCCACCTGTAGGCGAGCGCGTGTCTAACCCGCAGGTTAGCAGTGGACCCTCATCAAATAAACGGACTGACTCGTTCCGGTGAGTGTGACCCGCGGGTGCCCTGTGTATGGGCATCGCACACGGGCGCCCCAGCCTCCGGCCACCACGGGCACCGCCGCGTCCAGGGAGGACGGGCGTGGGCGGGGGAAACACGCGGCTGCCCAGCACTGACCCTGTTTCCCTGCTGCTTCCCAAACTAAACAGGGGCGCGTGTCAAAGCCTGCCTGCCACACGGACACCGTCTAATGGCCTCGCCGTTGCAGCCGCTGAGGGCGGCAGAAACAGGAGCCATGTAGGTTGCCTGAGGTCGTAGGTGTCGTTGGAAGTGGGAGGGTGCAGCGGCAGCGGCTTCCAGTATAAAGCCATCGAGGCATTTTGAAAGGAGAGGGCTCTGACCTGGCCGGGTGGGTCAGTTGGTTGGAGCGTCGTCCCGTAGACTGAAAGGTCATGGGTTCGATTCCCGGGCAGGGCACATACCTAGGCTGGGGGTTCGATCCCTGGTTTGGGGCACATGTGGGAGGCAATGGGTTGACGTTTCTCCCCCTCAACTTCCTCTTGCTACAAAATCAATACATTTATCCTCAGGAGAGGCTTAACAATAAATAAATAAAAGGAAAGGAACCGATTCTTAGGACCATCCAGGTTGAACACACGCACACCGCCCCCAAGCCCTGCCTCTGAGCGCGGCAAGCGAGGCCCACGTTGGCGGCTCAGCCCAGGGCACCGCGGCAGGGCCGGGCCCCAGCCCGAGGCTTCCGAGCCCTCGCCGAGAGAGACTGAGCCCCGGCTCTGCACCTGGAAGAGAGGCTGGTGAGTGAGCGCGGGGACAGGGCCTGCGGCCACCGTGCCTTGGCAGCTCCCACAGGAGACGTCTCCTGGGCTGCAGCTCCCGATGGTGCTCAGAAGCGGGGTGCCAGCCGCGGCCTCTGTGGGCTGGCGGGACCGTCAGCGAACCATGAGGAGGGCTCCAGGCTGGGTGTCGGGGGCCGGCCCGTGCCTGGGGTCACCCGGATCCCGGGCCGCGGGAGAAGGCTTGGAGGCACCCGGACTCGGGACAGACTGAGAGGGCTGCGGGCAGGTGTCCCCCAGTGCGTCGATGGCCTTCGTGAAGGCGTGCAGGGGGCGCCACGTCTGTACGGGCCCGGTGCTGAGGTCGGGCGAGAGGGATGTTTCCCAGGGGAGCGCGCGGCCGCGGCCGTGCGGGGCTCCAGGCTCCCCAGCCTCACTGTCCCTTCACCTTCGTTGCCTGTCGGGGGGTCTTAACTGCTAATCAGCTCAGGAATCCGTTCGATAGGAGGTTCCCCTCGGATGGCAGGCTACGCCCTGGCCCCCCGGGGTGCTGGTCAGAAACAGAGGCAAAGACAGCGCGAAGGGCCGTTACCTTGCTAATGTGGAACTCCAGGCGTCTCATGTATCTTTCAATCGTTTTAATTTGCTGGAATTAAAAGGAGAAGCACCTTGTGAAAAAGCACCGCCATTTACAGTCCAGCCGCTCAGGCCAGCGACTCCCAACCTTTCTCATCACATCCTCACCCGGGAACACGGAGCCCGCCCCCCCCCTGCCGCCCGCGCCCGCCCCCGCGCCTGCCCCCCGCTGTTATTTCCGGAGTCTCATTCCGAGGTGAGAAACTGGTGTAAACGCCTGAACGAACGTCCTGAGCGCGGGACGTGGCTGGCGACAGCGATCTGCGTTCCGCATCAGGAAGTGCTACCAAACGGGATCCGCTGGATTTCTGGCAGAACAGTATCCCACTGGAAGGCACCCAGATTCCTGCGCCCTGACACCCTGGGTCAGCTCAAAGATGAACCTCGGCCCCGCGCCGACGGCCTCGGACACTGCGGTGTGCCGCACACTCGCCGCGCCCCTGCATGCTCACAGGCGATCACGGTAGTTTCTGTGTCGCCTCCTCGTTTGAGTTACAAATATTATTACTACGTGCATTAAGTCTAATTACCCTTTCCGACGCCGGCACACAGGCTATGGGATGACTCAGCAGAAAGTGTGTCGTGTGTGTGCACAGAAAGGCAAGAGACAGCACCGCACGTAACTAAAAATAACCTACGTTTAAAATCGGCTTCAAAGAGCCTCGCCGCTAAGTACCAAATACAAAGTCTAAGTGGAAGAAAGCATGTGTCACGGGGTAACGGAAGTCATTTTCTTTCCTTAATGGAACCCAAAATAATGGGGCATTTATCTCTTTGAGTCGATGAGCTACGATGGTTAATTTTTATGGAGAGGGCAGGGCAGGGCCCCCAGACGCTCGGCGGCTCTGAGACGCGTCCGCACTCCCCCGGGACCGTGCTGCCGGGCTGCACTTCGGTGAAAGTACCATCGGACCCGTAGGTCGTAGTCCTTATTCGCCAAACTCATAGATAAAAGCGTGTGTTTTCCTGGGCTTAGAGCGTCATCGAATCTCCGGGACCCCCGTCCCTCGGTGGGGGGGCTGGCGCTCGGCCTCTGCCCAAGGACGCGGGGCCCCGTTTGTCCCCGACGCGAACGGGACCTACCTTGTCCAGGTCGTAGAGGACGCCCTGCAACAGAAAGGAGAGAGCCTGAGTCCGGGCACAGCTTCCGCCGCGTCGTCCCTGCGTCCCGCCTGCCGGCCGTGACAGAACACCGGCCCGTGCCCGGTTCTCTGGGATTTTGGACGCTCACTTCACGGGAGCGGAAATCCAGGCTACTTGAAGGACCGGGGAGAGGGCTCTCCTTGTGCGCCCTGTGTCCGCGGCCCCGGCCCGGCCCCTGCCCCTTCGAGCCTTAGGGGTTTCGCTGGCTTTGAGCTCTTTTCTCTCACCGGTTGAGGGACACACGTTCATGTTCCCTTTTTTAACGTTTACACAATGAATGGTGTAGCCATAACATGTAGCCGTGATACAGGTGCTAAAAATACACGTGCCTTCCTGCCTAAACAGGTAAACTCGGCATTTACGAGGAGTCCTGAGGGTGGGATCGTGCTTTTCTCAAGTTGTTTTCTAACATAAGTTCACGTCCTGTGCGCTCCCAGTATTGCAGGGGACGCGGTTCACGTCCCCCGCCTCCCCCAGGGGGAGGGTTTCTCTGGACTCTACGGCCTCGCGAAGCCCTGCCTTCTGCTCGCCATCATCCTCCGAGAAGGGGCGCTGGCTGCCACAGAGGACGGTCAAGGGCGTCGGAAGCCCCGAAAGTCATTTCACGGGACTTCCACGCGGATGGGGCCCTTCTCCACTCCAGCACCGTTACAATAGAAAACCCCTAACCTCTGTGAAGCCTCTAACCTCTAGCCTTCGGAATGGACAATATGCATGTTGGCCCATCTCCTAAAAAAGAAGGAGGGAACAGCCGTTCATGGGGAGCGGCGTCTCCCGGGGACGTGTAGGGTTCTCCCGGGCCTTCTGAGACACGGCGGTGGACCGTCCTCGCACGTGAGCAGAATCGCTCAACACACCGTGCTCATGGGAAACACCTCCCCAGCCAGACACGCGCCACAAGCCACTCGAAGAGAGGAAACCGGCACGCGCCCCAGCTCGAGGGCCTGCTGTTCTTCTCCGACCTCACTGCCTGCTACGTTCGTTAGAGATTCAGAGACAAAGCAAAGTTCTGAGTCCCCAGTTCTGCACGAATCACATGCCGGGGGGACCCCCGCTGTTCGTTTCCTTCTATCAGTCCGGGGAGGGACACAGGGAGTACTTTTCCTGATTTTAAAGTTCATCTGCATAAACATGCTTGGAAAATACGTAAACATGTTCAGAACAAAGCATTAAAATATAAGTCATAAAGCAGACACTACTTCGTCCCTTGGATCTGCTCTTCTTGAAGGTTTTCTGTACCTGTCTCCATCCAGTAGGAAAAGATATTTAGCCAAACAATTAAAGAAGAGAAAAAAGCCCTGGCCGGGGTGGCTCAGAGGATCGAGCGCCGGCCTGCGAACCGAAGGGTCGCTGGTTCGATTCCCAATCAGGGTACCTGCCTGGGTTGCGGGCCAGGTCCCCAGTACGGGGCGTGCGAGAGGCAACCACACATGGATGTTTCTCTCCCTCCCTTCCCCTCTCTTGAAAAGTAAATAAATAAAATCTTAAAAAAAAAATAAGGACACCTTGTTAGCATCCCGATGACTGGACAGTACGTACCAGGCGCGAGTTCCTCTTCATGTCCTTTAACTGAGCATTCAGCTTGTCCAGCTCCGTCTGGTGGACCTCCAGGTACTCGCTGCGAAGGGGAAACGAGGCACAGCTGTGAGCTCTGGGGCCGCGACCCCCGCCGTCCGCAGGGGTGTGGCGAGCTGAGCCTCGCTCTGTGGAGGGCCCCGCGGGAGCCGAAGAGGCGCCACGTTTCCCCGTCTTCCCACACCCTGAAGGCTCGGGCGGCTGCGTCTGAGGCTATCCAGATGGCCCAGGAGGGGAACCCCAGAGGCTGATCGCCCGGAACAGAAAACCCAGGGGGGACGGAAGGGGCCAGACGCGTGCGGAGCAGCTCTGGGCCCGGCTGACCAAGCTCCGTCCGGCTCTGCACAGCATGGACTGGAGACTGTCCCACGCACTCGGGAAGATTTGCTTGGGGCAAACCATCCCTCCAAGGGACTCGGGAAGGTTTCAGAACCTTCGGGAGCAACCTCTGAATCAGCTGCCCACCCACGTTGTTCCGCGGGATCCACACTCTCGGGAGGGCAGCAGAAACACGTCACCCCGTCAGTGTTACGGCCTCGCGTGGAAACCCCCCGGGTCCCCGCCCCGGGACCCCCGCCCCGGGACTCAGTGAGGGCCCCCGAGGAGGGTGCAAGAACGCGACACCTGCTCCAGAGAGGGACATTTTAAAAACGATCCCACAAGGCTGGTTTTCTCCTCCCCCATCCAGCCCCTGCCGTTCCGGCGCGAGAAGGCCCGGCTCCCGGTTACGGGCTCGCTGCACTCACTCGAGCCCCCGCTTCACGGCCCGGTACACCTCCTCCACCCTCCCCGGCTGCGGCTCCTTGGGCGGGCTGCTGTTTTTGTGTCCTAAGTTGTGCATTTTCTTCAGTTTGGCCTGAGGCTTCTTGACAGCAGAAGAATTTTCGATGAAGGAGTTACACCTGTGAAAAGAGAAAAGCAATCGGAAACTGTAGCTCAGGCGTCTGAAAGCGTTCGGGGAAAGGAGTGCCTTTCAATCACCCCATGTGTGTGTTTGTGGCTTTGGGGGGAGGTCACGGTCCCCGCACAGGGGCACATCCGAGCCACCTCCGTTTCGCTTCTTGGCGTGAGGCGTCGCTGCTGACACCCGGGAGCTTTGCTGGGCGGCGGCTTCCTCAGGTCGAAGCCTGGCCTCAGGTAACATGCGCACGGAGTGACGATGCCTCACGCCCCCCAAACCCCCCGGGGAGCCAGGGAGGACATGCACGCAGGTGGAAGGGACACACGAGCAGAAGGACGTAAATCAAGTAAAACACCTGTGCGTTGGCAACGTCAGACACAAGCGGCTGTTAAATGTGACTAGCGTGTGAGCGAACGCCCCTCGGACAGAGAGCCACGCGCGTGGTGCAATGTGGACGTGCAGCAAGGTGTGTGCCGCGGGCTGCCAGCGCTTCCTCGGGCTTTGTTCCTGTGGAGGGGCTGTGGGTACGTAACAGAAAGCCCGCCATCTCCACGAGTGGGGGCGGGGTGGTCGTGACCCCAAGAAACCCCTGATGGGTATTCACCCAAAGCAAAAACAAAACGGGGCCTCAACAAGACCGATGCAGCCCTCTGTTCACCGCAGCGCCGTGCGCAGCAGCGGAGACGTGGAGGGCGCCCCGATGTCCATCGAGAAGGAATGAGAAAGGCGATCGGGACGGGCGCGTCTGTGCGTGTGTGGACGTACAGATAGAAAATGGAATATTGTTTGGGAAGAAAATGGGCCAATGTCCACCCCAGCACAGGCACTAGACATGAGCCACCTCGTTCTCTTCAAAGTGAATACAAAAGGGACAGAACTTAGGAAGGGACATTTAACCTCAGGAGAGATGATGTAAAAAACTGGAAAAGAGTCTTAGAAAGCGCTCAGTATCCACAAATAGGTGGAAAAAGCCCATCTTCGTCTGCTGGTGAGAGGACAAATGGGCTCAGACACGTGCGGCTCTTTGGTGACATCGATCGAAAGGCCTTCACAGGAAGGACTGGGGCCATGTGGGGGAGCCGCACCCCGCACGGGGGGCTTGTCCTCAGCCTGCAGCCCGCTCCTGTGCAGGAGGGAGTCCGAGTGACGGAGCAGAAACCGCAGCACGTCAGCGCGGTGGCTTCCATCCTTTCCATCAGAGACGGAGGCGATGCACGCGTGTGTGAGAGCATGCGTGTGTGTGTGCGTGGGCTGACGAGGCCGCGGCGCCCAGGTGCTCGCTCACCCTCCGCAGCCTCCACACGCCCGTCCTCCCCGGCTGCGCCCGGCAGGGCCCCCGACTTGCCTGGACCGCCTCTCCTGAAGGCCGCTGAACCCCGCGAACGACTGGCTGCGGATGATGCCATTGGGCCCCCCGGGCGAGCAGGCCTGGGCCCCCACCAGCATGATCTCCGGGAGTCTGGCCGGCAGTCCTGTGGGCAGGGGACAGGGCACGGCAGGTCACGGGCAGGTTCAGACAGAAGACACCAGGCGTGTCGACCGCGAGAGGAGGTGCGGAGGGAGGTCAGGCCCGGTGAGTCACGGGCCGTTAGGCGCGGGCGCGCCCTGCTCCTGCCGCGTTGTTTTTAAGCCAAAGGGTTCAGCTCTCGGGCGAAGAAACAGAGATACCTCCCTCCTGGGACACCAATAAAACAAATTACACACACGCATCGGGCCCTTCAGGCCTCCTTCAGGGTTTTTTGTTTTTTTTTTTAAAACAAGTTTCAACCGCACTTTCAAAAAACACGAGCACTTTGTGATGTTCACGTCTGTTCAACAACACGCCAGACACGCAGGAGGCCTCAGAACCGGGGCTTAGGGCCGAACCCCGCCTGCGCCCAGAGCCTTCAGAGGTTCCTTTCGCAATGCCCTCACTTAAACTTGGCCCCCGTGTCCTCCCCTGAGGCATAGCTGCTGCTGCTACAGGGGCCCTGCAAAATGAGGCAGAGGGCACTCACGGACGGCTGACCGTGGAGGCTGCGGTCAGAGGGGGGCACGGGGCGCAGAAAGCGCGGCCCGGGGCGCGGCCCGGTCAGTCACCTTCTCCCTTCGGTCAAGACTCACCGCGCCGGGCTCAGACACCCGGTCAGAGCTCCGCCTCGGCTGGGCAGCAGCCGCAGGTTGGTTCAGGCAACGCCATTGCCCCGCGACCAGGAGGAGTCTGCACCCAGGCGACTCGTAGGCCACTCGGTCCCGAGAAGGGGAGGGGCTCGGGGCCAGACCAGGTGAGAGGAGGTGGCTGCAACCACTGCCTGTGAGAGACCTGCCCAGCCAGCGGCTCCACGTAGGGAAGGAGGGAGGAGGTCCCCAGAGACGGGACACACAGCCCCTCCCCCGAGCGGCAGGCCTTCAACCGCCCACCCCCGCCAGAAGAAAGCACCGCTGGTGCTGGCGTTTCTCGGCCTCCTTGCAGGTCCAGGTGCTGACTCACTGGGCACCAGACCGGCTCTTTGATCTGGGTGGGACGTGCACGCGCCCATTCCGGTGGGGGTGGGGAGCTTGCCTTTCGGACCTTCTCAGGAATTTTCAAAGCACCGTGGCAGCACGCTGCGCAGTGAAATCGGTTCCTGCTGCCCCCGCGGCGGGACCTGATGCGCTCACTAAGAGGTCGGCCCACTTTTCACGGAAACTCCTCCTTCGGTTCCGAAAGCATCACCACGTCACGCGCAAACATGTCACAAATTCCACGAAGACACTGGGCTGTCTGTTTTTTGTGTATCCGAGAATTCTTTAACCAAAATCCCAACCAAAATCTCAGTGTGGCAAAGCTTGGTCGGCATCGTATCTCGCTTTGTCAACTAGGTCTACAGCGTCACACGACTCGGACCCAGGAAGAGACTGAGAGTATTGGAAATATTTTAACTGTATGATTGTCGTGGGCTTGCTAGGAATTACATATTTTTAAGCCCCCAAATTTTTCTGTCTTCTCCACAAGATCCCTAGTCCAGCACTGATGCCTGGCGCCCGCCCCAGGCCTCCTGACAGAGGGGGCGTGGAACTCGACCCGGGTTTGGGGGTTTTGAAAAGGTCCCCAGGTGATTCTCGGGCTCCACAGAGACAAGGAAAAAACGCGAGGCCACCTTGGCTGACCTTTTAAAACTCTAGTTACAATAATCTATCCCAGTGTCTCAAGTCCAACTTTAAATATACGCTACCCGGTCTCCATTAAGCCTCTCCTTGCAAAGTTTAAATGTCCCATTAAAGTAACTCAACACGAGAGAGTAAACCCCACGAACTGCTTGTGAACCAACTCCCCTTCTCCCCCTGTTTCCCTAACAGGTAAGGAACGGGCTTGAGTCCGGATTCTGAGAACTGCAAAACGCTTGGGGGTGAAGAAGCTCCTCAGACATTTTTCATTATCTACGTGCTGAACCGGCGGCCAGTGCGGAAGGCGCCTGGGTGGGCCTTCTGGTCTGGGGAGCGATCAGTATCACACGGGAGGAATTTGGAGAGCCGGTTTAGGCTGGGGGCTCAGGCTGCAGTCGCGGCCCGCAGGCTGACACGCCTTGACGCACCGCCCGGGGACAGCCACAAATCCTGCCGGCGTGTGCTTTCCCCGGCAAAGCAGGGTCCGGGAGAGTCCAGAGGCCTGGGAGCGGCCGAGGCGGCAGGGCCGGGAGGGGCGGGGCCCCGGCACGGGACCGAGGGCGCAGGGAACGCTCCCCGCCCCCGCCCCACCTCTGAGGACGCCAGGGTCCCTTGTCGCTGGCGCCCCAGCCTCCTCGCCCGCCGCGCTGCCGCGCTCTGTCATCAGCGCTGCGAGGACCCCGCTCCCACCCCTCGGTCCCTGAGTCCCCAGGCGGCCCCTGCTTCCTGAAAGCCCAGCCCTGGCAAAGCCGCCCCTGCAGACACTCTGCACATTTTCAGACGTTGGGTCTGAGAACCGGTCACCCCGCCGCTGGAGCCCTTTGCATTTTAATAGCAGCCGCCCCTGGGGACCCTGACGACCTGCCGGGCGCCCAGGCTCGTGGGCAGTTGGGCTGTATCAGCCTCAGGCAGGAAAGGTGCCCCCCCTGCAGCTGCTCTCTGGCGTCCCCTGCGGAGACAGACTCCAGTTCAGGAAGAGGCACCTCCGGGACGTCCACGACAGGCAGCGTGAGCGCTGGAAGGTGGAACCGGGACGCGTGCGCCTCGCTTCGGGGATGCCGAGGGCGCCGCGGGGCAGGCACGGCGCGGCCTGGGACGCCGCGCAGCCGTTAAAGCCTCCCGGCCATACGCCAGGCGGTGAACCACAAAGCAGTGTAAAGTGACGCCCGTGCAGAGGACCGTCCTGAAAGCGACAGGGCCGCCTGGGGGTGGGACTGAGGGAGTCGGGGACATTCTAACTTTGTGTTGAGTTTTCACAAAGGAAACGCATTTGTGTGTTATTGGCAGGACGCAAGGCTCTGTTGTGAAGCTGCGGACCAGGATCCTGGCGTCTGCTGTCCAATGAGTCTGATTAGCCTGAGCGGGCGAACCTCTGTCCCCAGACGTGCACAGCTGCTCCGGGGCCCTGCTTGCCCGTCGACAGGCGACCTCCTTCACCGCCTGTCAGGCCCGGCCTCCAAGCTGCCCGGCGCGGAGGGAGGCGCTGGGGGCTCCGATGACCCCAGAAAGCGCCGGGGAGCCTCTAGGCAGCTGGAGTGTCAGTGCTGAGTGTCCGCTCAGGCACACGGAGACCCATTACAGCCCGCAGGAGTCGCCGGGTTATTTTTAGTTTCTCCAGGCATAAAAGCGCCCTGCTTGCTGGGAAAACACAGAAAGGGAGAAGGAAGGGGTGGGGGGAACCACCGGGCGGCCTGGGTCCCCGGAGGCCCCGGGCGCATTTCCTTGCCTGCAACTCTTCCCTCCCCGTTTAAAACAGCGATTTTGGGCGTGAAGCTAAATTTTGTGTCCTGCTTCTTTTATCAAATTCTTTTTTAACGCTAAGTCCAGGGGGTTGTAAATTGGCTTTTTTCTTAAACTGTCTTTAAAAAGCTACCTAGGCCCCCCCGCTCTCCCCACCCCAATTTTCAGGGCTCGTCTGGATAATAGAAGGAAACCCACCCGGCAGCCGTTAGATCTGCTCCTGGCCGCTGGCTCCCTCAGCGGCCCAGGGCAGAGGGGGCGCCCACCAGGCTGGCCGGGGGCTGTTCCCTGGGAACCGGGGCGGATGTTGGCGTCTGTGCACCTTGACCGCCGGGCGGCAAACCTCACGGCATTAAAAGCACCCCCCACCGGAGGTGGCGTCACTGCCCGAGCCTCTGGAGAGAAAGGTTTTTATGGCGTTTCCACCTTTTCTACTTAAGCAAGGCCTCTGCCTAATGAAGCCACAACAAGTAGTTCCGGAAGGCCCTCACCGAGGATAGGAATGTAAGAGGCGCCGTGATTTCCGAATGAGGCAGTGAGGACACCTCCGTTCTCACCAACGCCTGTCTCGTGGCGGGAGAGTGTCCACTTAATAACCAAGAGATGCCGGTTATGAAGCGATGCCAAGCCCACAGGCAAGGCCGAGGCGGCCGCGTGGGGCGAGGCCACAGCCAGGCGGGGAGCTGGCAGGCGGCGGGCGCGATGTGCTCGCAAAAATAACAAAGTCTACAACCAACGCGCGTGTCTGCGGCGCCAAAGATGGGAGCCGGCCCGGGAGCAGGAGGAAGCGTTTGGGCAGCGGGGGGCTGGTGGGGGTTCGCTGGACGTGTTCTAGGGCTTCATGCTGACGATCGCTCCCCTGGGTACGATTCCTAAAACCGAAACGGGGCACTTAACGGTTTACGGCACGTGAAAGTTCTGTCAGTAAAGCCGTTAAAATCTCTGTCAGTTTCTGGAGGAAGCCGCCACCCCTTCCTCAACAGGACGTGCCAAGAACTCAGGGCCTGGTGAGCAGAAGCCGGGTCAGTAACCCGAGTGACGAGGCGTCGGGGTTAGAGGCCTGCCCCGCGAGGCGCAGGACGCGGCCCTGCTGCGCTTCCCGAGTCACTTCTTCCTTTACACCCTCACCTGAGGGTTAATCCACTGATTCCAGAAAGAGAGACACGGGGAGAGAGAGAGAGAAAGGGAGAGAGACATCGATCAGTTGTTGCCTCCTGCACACGCTCTGACTAGAGAGCGAACCCACAGCCTTTGGGTTCACAGGACGACGCGCCGACCAGCCGAGCGCACCGGCCAGGGCTGCGCTGTCCCTTACAGCCCCGCCCGGGCCCCCCACCTTGGTCCGGAGCAGAAGTGTCAGTCGGTCGTCCGACAGAGGCCTGCGGACCAGGTATAAATAGTCTGCCGGGCTAAACGGCTATTCCAGGGGAATCCTAAAAATAGGTGCCTGCTTATTATACGGTTGCAAGGTACCTATTACAGAACAGTTGACTAATCTTTAAAAAAAAGATGTCTCTAAGTCATTGGCTATTTTTTAGGCACTGCTTTAAGTTGCCCAATATTTGACTCTGAAGCGTGCAGAAAAGTTGCAAGAAAAGCACGAAAG